CTATAACCTACTATAATATTTAGGTTTTCCTTAGGTTCTATAATTTTTACCGACGATTTATATATAGGTACTTAGGAGTTATAGCGCCCCTAACTATATTGCTAAAGGGGAGTAAGAATAGGAAGAAGCTAGGGAGTATAGAGCTAAACCTTACCGAAAGGGCAGCGTTTTAGGCTCTTAAGGATACTTTTTAAGGAGCCCTACTCCTCTAATATTACGATCTAGAAAGACGCATTCGCATCGAAATAGATATATCGTAATTCGCGATAGTAGGGATTATCTCTTAACCCGATAATAAAGGGCGTTACTATCCGATCGCATTCTAGTTAAGGAAGTTTACTAGAGCCGAACTTAATTATAGTATTCTAGACTAAGAACTCTTTACTATCGTTAAGTTATTTAAATACTAGCGATATTACGTCGAAGGGGCAGCGTATAAAGTAGAGGTATTATCGGACTACTATAACCTCTAGACGTTTATATACTAGACCTCCCTAAATAGGAGGTAAGTAAGATAGTATATATATTTAGTACTATTTAACTTTACGATTAAGCATCGTATAAGTAAATCTAACCTAGCGGACGCGCTATCGAGAATGCCTAGATACGAGGGCGAGAAGCCCCTATCTACGGAACTATTACTAGAGCTATAAGCGAAGCTAGCTACTATTAATACCGTATCCGTACGGAGAAATAACGAGGCGTTTTTATAGGCAAAGAGATATTTAACCTTAAGTTAATATAAGCGTAGTAAAGTGCCTTTATATAAGGAAAATATATAAGCTTATCTATAGCGAAACTATAATAATTTAGGCGCGAGACCTAAACGATTAGCCGATTAGGCTAAAGAGAGAGCTAGTTATAAACAGTTACTCTTAAGGAAGACCGCTAAAGAAGCGGCCTACTATATAAAGGTTTATATAGTAGAAGTTCTAGAACCGTTACTAGAGTTGCTAAAACGTACTTAGTCGGTTAACGTAGCGATTAATAAGCTAAAGGAGACCGAAGACTTCTCGAAAGGGAAGGGTTTCTAGTTAGTGCGCCTAGATAGACTACTACTATAGAAGGGTCGTATCGTAGTGCCTCTAGAGGCAGCCTTACGGTAAGAGCTAATATAGCTCTTCTATAACGATCCGTTAGTAGGATACTTTAGCTCCTAACGTACTAGCGAACTACTAGCGAGGAACTTCTACTAAGATAGAATAACGAAAGACGTAAATAAATACGTCTAGTTATGCTTAGTATATTAAGGTATAGTGTCTAGGAGGCATCGCCCCTATAGTACTATGTAATCGTTACTATATCCTATATAACTATAAGAAGAATTATTAATAGACTTTACTATAGGTCTGCCTAAAGTATAGTATAATAGACGAGACGTTAATACGATCTTAGTAATCGTAGACCGATATACTAAGTATTGCCTCTTCTTTCCTATCTCTAAGATAATAATAGCCCTAGAGCTAGTAGAATTATTCTATTATTAAGTTAAATTAGTATATAGACCTTTAAAAGGCATTATCTTAGATAAAGGGTCCCTATTTATAAGTAAGTTCTAGTTAGATCTTTATTTTATCTTATAAGTAAAACGTAGGCTATCGATAGCATTTTACCTATAAACCGACGGGTAAACGGAATAAATAAACTAAGCCGTATAGCACTACTTAAGATACTTTACTAACTTAGAATAAACTAACTAAGCGTTACTCCTACGTATTGCTTAATTTATATATAATAATATAAAGAACGCGATAACCGGGCTATTACTTAATAAAGCGTTAATAGGTTACTAACTAAACTTTTATATTAATACCGAGGACGATATTATTTAAAGGGGGGTACCCGAAGTAAGAGTAAGAGTTACTAGGCTATAAGAGCTACGAAAGAGGCTTAAGGAATACTAAGGAAAGGCTATCGAATCGTAAGCGAAATACTACGATTTAAGGCACTAACCGCTTATACTAAAAGTAGGAGACCTTATAGTATTATCGATAAAGAACTTACGCCTTAAGGACGAAAAAAGAAAACTCTTACCTAAGTATATTAAACCGTTTCGGGTCCTATAAGCTATTAGAAAGTAAGTATATCGTCTTATACTCCCTAAGAAGTACTTAAGTATGCCTTTATAACGTTTTCTATATTAGTCTCTTAGAGCTATAGAAGGAGCGTAAAGGCACCCGTAAAGATAGCGAAACCCTACCGATACTAGACTTAGAGGACGATAAAGGCGAATAGGAAGTCTAAGAGATTAAAGACCGAAAGAGATCTAAGGGCGATACCTTTTTCCTTATTAAATAGAAAGGATAGCTAGCTAAGTATAACTAATAGGTCGAGGCTAAAGATATAGCGAATAGCTAAGACCTTATTAAAGAATATACTGCTCGCTTAACCGGGAAAAAGAGGCATAAGACTAAGTAAGGTAAGGAAACCTATTAGCGTAGGGAGACGCTACTAAATCGGTAACGAATCCCTACTAAATCGCTACCGACTCGTTAATATATCGGCACGCTTAAACGTCCTATAACTATATATAAAATAGTAAAATAGGAAAATAGGGAAAACTATCTATACTACCTATTAAATATTATTAAGGAAAATAAAACTAAACTATAACTCTACTAAGGCCCTAACGATAAAGGAGAGAAGGATAGTTATAGCTAAATAAAAGAAAGATAAGACCTATCTATTACTTCCGACCACCCCTCTTCTTCGCCGGCGTAGCGGGAACTAACTAAGGCGCCCCCTCCGCTATGCCGAATACCTCCGGAAATACCGGAACTACCCTATCCTCCGCTCCTTCCTTATCCTCCGCGTCGAGACCTATCTCTATTAGTACGGTACTTACCTCGGCCTTAGTAAATAGTAAGGTATATTGCTACGAAGTATAGCCTATATCGCCGTCGATAAGGCGGAGTTTTAACCGGGATTCTTAGGCCCGGTACTCCGGGCTTATATAGGCGATATCGAATAAGGGCGCGGGGTTAAGGCGAATAATAAGCTCGCGGCGCTTATTAATTAGCGTACGGTAGTCGGCACGCTCGACCTAGTATATCGTTAGGCGGTCGCTAATAAAAGGGTCGGATAAAACTTACGATAGTAGACTTCTATATACCCGTAGTCCTAAAAGACTTACGATAGGCTATCTCGGCGGCGTCGAAAGCCTCGGCTAAATACTATACCGTAATAGCGAGACGGCGCCGATTAGCCTCCTCGAAAACGAGCACGCCCGCGTCCGAGCTATCGTCCTCGGTATCCTCGTTACCGGTCTTTAGCTTATTAAGCTCGCATAGGTACTTAACGATAGCGACTATATCGGCCTAGTTACTAGATATAAGAGTAGCGGCCTCGAGAAGGATTAGCTTATTAATTATAATATTTAAAGTTAAGGGGAAACTTACCTAGTTATAGGTCGCGGTACGTCTATAGCACTACTTATAGCGCGTCGAGGAAACCCCCGAGAAAATATAGCTAATCGAGAGCACCTCGATAGGCTTAGGCTCGGTCGTACTATACTCCTTAACGACCGTCCTAAAATAATATATATACTAGAGCTTACGAGGGATAACCCTATAGGCCCTAATCGGGCGGGCTTTAGCCTTAGATCGGGTGCGCTTCTTCGTAGGAGCGCGACCGCCTCGTGCCGCCGCCTAGGTGCCCTCGTCTCCGGCGCCGCCGTTCTTAGGTTCGTCGGTAGGAGGAGTCGGATCGCGGCTATCTCTATTATTACCGTTATCGTTATCTTAGCCCTCGTTTAGCTAGGCATCGGGATAGTCTTAGCCCTCGTTCGGCTAGGCCTCGTCGTTAATATCGGCCTACTTATTCTAAGGAGCGGCCTAGGCGACGATCTCCTATTAGCTAGAGCCGCCCTATTAAGATAGAGTAGCCGGGTTATCGGCACTTACCTAGGAGCGCCTAGGCACGATCTCCTCGCTAGCATTAGCATCGCTAACGGGGGTGATAGACTTACGAGTTCCCGGGCCCGTAGAGGCAGGCTTATCGGTGGTTAGAGTCGGGGCACTTAGCGGGGTAACGGGGGCACGACCCTCGCTAACGTTAGGTCCTAGACTAGAAGTCTCCTAGGACTAGGATTCCCCTATGCCTTTCTTAGCTCTCTTCGCTAAGGGGGAACTAGCGTCGCTACGAGACTTCTAGGCCGATCGCTTACGCTTTAAGGGCGAACCCGCCGCTACCTACTCCCGTATATAGCGTAGGAAATCGGCGTTGCGGTTCTTCGTCTTCTTTAGCGTAGAAGGTATTATCGTTAATAAATCGTCGATAAAAAGTAATATAAAAAGGTATAAGGGATTAATAAAAAAAGGCGTAAAACTCTACGGTAATCGTAAGCGGAAGAGTTAAAGAAGAAAAGAAAATAGAAGAAGTAGGAGATATATACGCACGCTCTTTATATTATAGTTACGCGGCCGATATATAGGCGTATACGCGCGATATATAACCGAAACTACCTCTCTTCCTAACCGAATATACGCAGCGTAGCGAAAGTAATATATATTAAAGATATAGCCGAGACGTCTATATAGGAGGGGAGATAATTATAAGAGCGCTACTAGGAGGTACGGGCTAATAAAGTACTCGGGTACGTAGTACTAATATATCGGTAGGGTATCGGCAGGGAATCGTGCCTACCCCGCTCGCATATTATAGACTACTCGCTACTCCGACCGAAGAGGAAAAATCCCTCTTCTCGCAAGCTTTAGTCTTGCGACGAGGAGAACACAATATATATAGCGCAGTACCTCTAGCTATCTCTACTACCTGACTGATCGTACCGTGATACGTGTTCCCTTACATTTTTATAGCCCTAATAGCATACTTAAAGCTATTTCGGGCTTCTATAAAGCTCTTTTAGCTCTCCTCGTCCTAGGCTAGCCTATAAGCCCGTTGGGCTAGGCTTAGGGCTTTCCGAAGGCAGGTTAGCTCGTCGGTCTACCAGGGCTTAGATCCCTTATAAGGCCTCTTTTTCGGTATCGCCGTGTCGACCTTTACCTTCGGGCAAACATGCCTCGGCTTTTGAACACCCCCTCGGCTTCACACACGGCATCCTCGTCGCCGCTCAGGGTAATGCTTGAGCCGGAGTTAACGGCTGCGACCTGGAGCCGGCCTGCAAACCTGTCCTCGCAACAAAAGGTTCGTGCAGCATCTGCCGAGGCGCCGACGGCCAGCATAGCGCCACGAGGAGCGTGCGGCCTGGGGCTGGATGCAAGTCGAGCATGGAGACCGCGCAAGTAGGCAATCCTGACGGCATCGCGTGCCGAGACGAGACCAGCCGCGTAGGCCGCCCGGATTCCACCTGGCGAGTGGCCCACGACGGCTGTCAAGCTGATGCCGGCCGCGCGCAGGATATCGACCAAGACGATTTGCACCGCTGTGCAGAGGGGCTGAGAAAGCGCGGCCTCGGAGAAGCGCGACATCTCGCTGTCCGCCAGGAGCTGGTCCTTGAGGCGCCATGTCGGTTGGCTCGAGGCCACGGGGAGACCGCGCAAAGCAGCGTCGAGCTCGGCGATGCGGGATGCGGCGAATGGAGAGGTCTCGATGAGCCGAGCGCCCATGCGCGGCCACTGCGCCCCCTTCACGGTGAAGACGCCGAGGATCTTTACAGGCCGAGACGGCTGGCCCAAGCGCGTGTCCAAAGCATTGACGTCGCGGCTGCCTGGTAGGGGTTGACGAGGCCCTCGAGGGACTGTACGGCGTGTTCGGCCGTCGGCGCAGCAATGGCGGCTCGGAAGGCAAACGTGGAGCGCCTATGCTATAGCGTGTACGCGACGTTTGACAGATGATCGGTAGAGCTGGACTTGAGGTATTCGAGATGCTGAGACAACATCGTCCGGAGTGCCGTAGGAAACGTAGCCGAGAACAAGAGGGACGTGAAGAGCGGCCGTGGCGGCAACTCCAGTGGCTCGCTGATGGCCGGAATATATTCTTCCACAATGCAGTGCGCATTGGTGCCGCCAAAGCCGAAACTGCGCCGTCACCGAGTCCATTTCGCGATGTTTAGCATGCCTTCACTCCTTTACTTGGGCCAAACGGAGAGAGTGCTGATCCGTACCTATTCACACTCGCCCTTTTCACTTGGCCCTCCTTGACCAGCCAAGCCGTCAGAGCAGCCGCTATGCTCAGATGTTTGAAGAAGGGGGCGGCATTTGGGTTCAGATTGTGGAAATGCAGGTTGGGCGGGACGACGCCATGCCTGGGCGCCAACGACACGGCGATGAGGCTCGCCACGCCGGCTGCGCCCTCGGTATGCCCAATCACCGTCTTGATGAATCCCACAAGCAGCTTGTCCGCCTCGCAGGCTGCGCGAGACCCCGCGGGGAACAGGGCCGTCGAAATTGCCTCGGCTTCTTGCGGATCGCCCGCCTGGGTCCCCGTGCCATGGGCTTAGAAGAACTGCGGCCTGTCGCACAGGTTGCTGATGGGATCTAGCCCGGTACGAGCGTAGCAATCGCGGACCAGGGCGGCCTGCGCTTTCTCATCTGCCATGTTGTGAAACACAATAAAGAGACGAGGGCACGCACCGGGACTTAGAATCAGATTGGTGCCCGCCGCCACGGCCATCGTCGACTATCCGCTTCGGAGCACCCGCACAGCCTGGTCCAACGCGACCAGACTGCTTGAGCACGCCGTGTTACCGTCATGCTTAGGCCGTGCTAATCGAAAAAGTACGAGACGCGGTTGGCCGCGAGAGACCTGGCCAGGTCCGTCGCCGTGTACCTCGGCATCGTCTCCCAGTCTCGTTCCACCATGGTGTTGTAGTCGTCGCGCATGACGCCCACGTAGACGGCCGTTTCGAAGCCGCGTAGCTTCTCCATCGGTTGGCCCGCGGCGGAAAGCCCGTCGTAGACAACCTCGAGCAGCAACCGATGCTGCGGGTCTATGGCCTCGGCCTCGCTGGCCTGGACATTGAATAACACGGTGTCGAACTGCGCCACATTGGTCGTGTCTGAGTCCTCAGCCAGTACGACCTGTTGACATTGGTGGTGCCATGATGTGTGCCGACCGGGTGATAGAAGACATCGGCGTTGAAGCGCGAGGCCGACGGCTCGTGACTCAGGTCTCGAGGGTGATGGATCAGATACCAGAGCTTAGAAGGCGTGTCGGCATCGCTGGGGAAACGGCATTCTGTGCCGATGACCGCAATCGATTCTGCCATGGTTCTTTACGAGCTGCGGTGAATGCAGGGTCGTCGGATAAACTGGTTTGTAAGAGCAGATTCGTCGAATGACGATGGTACGCGGCTCTCTCGCAGCTCTTCTCAAGGCAGCGTTGGAGTGAAATTCTCCTTCGGACACGCAACAATGGCACAGGGAGAGCTAGGGGAAGCCAGGATCAATGCTCAGATTCTATGAAGCATATCGAATCGGCAAAAGAAGGGGAATACTCGTAAAGTATCATTCGATACGATCTTTGCAGCCACTCGGAGGAAACCACTTCCTTCTTTAGTAAATGGTGGCGGTAAGGAACTGATGATTCATGATGGAGCTCAGGCGCCAGCGTATCATATGCAGTTGGCCCGCGGGGCAGGTCTCCCAATCTAGGACCTGTTGGATCTGTAATTAGCGTGTCGAGTGAAGCATTGAAGCAGGCCACACGTGAGTATGCAAAATCAGCTTGGCTCGGGGAGTGCGACTTCATATAGAGAAACCGTCTGTGGAGCAGGATTTGCCCCTTGTAGAGCAAGTGACTGATGAAAAGTCGGGCCATGATGACTTGCGGAGAGTCGGTGACGCTAGCTGCTGGCGACTTGAAGAGGCTGGGATCACGGTGATAGCCCATGCGCATGGCCAGGTTGACGACGAGGGCGAGCAGAAACCAAGTGTCCTTGTCGGCGTCGGCGCGGATCACGAATTCGATGTGGAGATGGTGAAGCATCGTCTCCATAACATGCGGCCCCGACTTGGTGTACACGCTGGCGATGAGGCACTGCACAATCTTTTCACGATACAAGTTGATTTGCAACGACTGCTGCTCCAGTTCGTAACTCTGCGAAGGGTCGTTCGTGCCGGAGGTCACTACCGCAAGACATATGACGCTAAAAAGGAGGCCGATCCACGCGATTGGGACGCCGGACGGGTTGGCCAACAAAGTCTCGTACTGTTATCCGTCAGCGCCAAGACTATGACCACTAGTGGACAGACGACAGCACTTGCTTCCCTGAGAAAGCTAGGCCCGTGGACGATGCCTGGTGGACTCCGGGGTCAGCTTTGGGCTTGCGTGCCGGGAGGGAGGTGGCGTGCCTAGAGAGGCCATCTCCAGGTTGTTAAAGTAGCGCGAAGCCCGGCGACGACATCCGTACAGAAGCAGCGCATGGGGCGATGGGCAGTCGGCACCGCCAAGGCCGCTTTCGTTGTCGCTCATAACGTGGTCCCAGTTGCCTGCGAGCTGGAGCTGCTCCTCCCGGTCGAGGTGATGCTTGAGATCGGTGATGCTATCGAGAATGGCCGCCCAGTGCTCGCCGCCGACGTAACGAAGCTCCGAGTCGCTGACACGAATGCTCCCGCATTCCGAGGGCACCTGTACGTGGTCGCCCGCCAGACTGCCCCGGTCTGCGGCAGCCGAGTCACCGATGGGGCTGGCGCCGGGCTTGCTGTCGGAGCCCACGAGGGAGACGACGAGGCTCTCGAGCAGGACCAGGCGATCATGCACGCTGGGCGCCGCGTCAGTCGGCCGCCTCCAGGACGACGGCGGGTGCGTTTCCACATAGGCGCACGTCAGACCGCGGGACGAGCAAGTCGAGCATGGATGGTGGCGATCGCACCGAAGTCTGGACAGAGCTCGTCAGCGGAACTGGCGGAATCGGGGCAGCTGTCGATGCTCACTTGCGGCGGCGACACATATTGCAGGATAGCTGGGGCTTGTCTCGGCGTCTGGACCGCGACGAAGCAGCGTCGGCCTCGTGCGGGCCCGTCAAAGACGTTGTCGTGAGGGGGGATCTGCTGGCCTCGTTAGCCGACGACCAGGCGTGAGCCACGCTGAGGAGTGAGGGCTCAATTGTTGAAGTCGTCTGGATACAGTACATGTGAGCTTTGATGCTGTTGCAGTGGTGGTGACGTGGGGCAGGAGCCCGGCAAATCTCCGGGGACCGCCGGTGCGCCTGCCGTTGCAATTCGGTGCCGGGACCAGCGGCAGCCTTTCCGACCCTCCGACCCTCCGCGGCCCCACTATTACAATTCTCCACCCCCGCTTCTGCTCCCTCGTGGGTCCGATGCCCCGATGCTCCGTGGCCCCACTACGGTTGACCCGCCCCCCTCCGCCCGCCCCCGACCGATTCGTCGTTCTGCCAGGCCAGGCCCGCCCATCTACGAAGTAGACATCTCCGAATGGCCTAGAGCTGTTCACAGCTCGTATTCGCCCGGGCAACACTCAAGGCATTATGATTGCTCTCTTAAACGCCAACTGCTCCACGCATCCCGAGGCCCTCCCGCTTCCTCGAGCCTTCAATCGCCCGTCTGTCCACTCTTCGGATCCACCGACGCCGCGTCTCCCTCCAGCCGAACAATGTCCAAGACACATGCACACTCAATTACCTGCCCTTCGAAACTGACCAATATGCCTGCAAAGGGCCATGCAAAGAAAGGCATCTCCACGCTCACACATCGACCGAGGCCATTCACATATATCGACATGGGCGATCCACCCCGGCACATTTCGGAAATCGATGTTGTGCGACGTGACCAAGAACCGAGCCATGATTCTGTCACTGCAAAGTTTTGAATTGACTGCAAGCCAATCTCACTATTAACAACGCCAACCCGGCTCCATTAAGTTCGTCCTGCGACTGGTGCAGGCCACAGAAGTTTTGATGTGCTTCTACCTCCAAGAAAGATGCCACTGGCGTCCAGCCGGTCAGTTAGGCCAAGTTCTGTCTTTAGTAGATCGGATTTGGCTTCAGCTGGTGAATATTCGAGGCGTCAAGTAAACAGTATTCATACACTGGGGAGAAGGCATACCAACTTTCATGCTCTCCGCCACCCATTGAGGCTTAACCGCTCAAGACCACCTGGGGTAGTCAACGGCCAACGCTTTCTTGCGTGGCTCATCTGACGAGCTTCATTACGGCATACCCATCGGAATACAACTCACAGCGGGAAGTCTTACTCCAGCTGGCCGACATTTGCCCCATGTTCCTAAAATCACCTTCTAGTCACAGCCTGACGGCTCGGGGATCCAGTCAGCACTTTGAATGCTCGGCACAGAAAGAGCTTAGAGGGGGGAAGCCAACATATCGGGGATTTGGATGTCCGATAGCGACGAACAAGGCGCTCGATTTCAGTGTTGACGACCTGGCCAGCCGATGGGCATATGTGTCGAAGCACTGTCTCCCCCCCCCCCCTAGAGACACTGTCCATAAATATGCAATGGCCCATTTTCCCCTGCGCATGACGTTACAGAATTGCTCACGGGAACGAGTTTCGGAGACATTATTCCTCGGTCTGTTATCATTCTATGGTTTCTCCTGCCAATGTGTCGCGTCCTATGGCCACCGGGTCGACTTACAGCCTCGCTAGGTTGGCGGCTCCATTGCAGGCTTGCTGCAGTCGCTGCAGCTCAAGCGCAAGGGCAGCCAAGTTATCATCCTAGAGCAGGACCCCTAAAGGATCGACACAGTCACGAGTCTGGTATCCAGATCGGCTCCGGCGTCATCGCCCTCCTCAATAAATACGACGCTACGGACCGGCCGGGATCCCGGCGCGCTTCATGAGCGTTGTATAGCGTAAGTGGGCTCCGCGTCTTAAACGCTGGCCTGCCGCGCCATATGAGCAACTGGGGATGTCTATACCTCATCCTGCGCGCCAACTTCGGCGGCTTGAAGACAGAGGTGGCGCCGAGACTAGCTGCGCCCAGGGAAGGCGACGGCAAGGTTGAGTATCGGTCCGGAAAGCGCGTGACGGGATTGAGCTATGAAAAGGACAAAGGCGTGGTACACATCCGGACTATGGATGTATCGACCGGCAAAGAGGAATACCTGAACACCAAAAATGGTCATTGGGGCGGACGGAGTGGACTCGACCGTGAGGACGCTGTTACAGGCCCCTACGTGCAACGAATATGCTTGTTACATTGCTTGGAGAGTCACTGTGCCGGAGAGTCTGTTGTCGAAAGAGACGGTTGTGTACTTCTCCAACCGACTAAACTTGAATCTTATGAAGGGGCTGTATTGCATGAGGTGAGAAGAGGCCCTTCATATTTGTTTCGCGTCAACATCCATGAGCAGCAAAATTATCCCAACCGAGAGTGGTCGCGTCAAGCCAGGACAACGTCTTACCAACTGGGTTTGGTACTACATTGTACCCGAGGGCTGGCCAGAAATGGCTGCCGCCTTCGCCTACATACACGGCCAGACTCACCCATGCAACGTCTCACAGGGTCTAGTCAGGCCAGATGTGTGGGATTGTCAGATAGCCCGTTACGTCTCGCAGCTGATTCCTCCTCTCGCCAAAGCTGTAACCAAGACGCGCAAGCCGTTCGTCAGTCGTCACAAAGGTACGCGAGGCACAGTGCGTGGGCGAAGCCGGCTTTTACGACGGCCGCGTCGTGCTTGTAGGAGACGCCTTTACGACCTTCCAGTCACATATGGGCATGGCATCGGAGCAGGCGGCGCGGCATTGCTTGGAGATGAACAAAGTCTGGCGAGGGGAGATCACACAAAGTTGGAGTTTTTGCAGACGGCGGCACCGTACTTATTTCTGATGATCTCAGTTCGGAGCCGCGTGAAGAGCGGAGCCGCGTCCTAGCAGTACTAATACATCTACTGCCGTAAGACGTGGGAGACGCCGAGTTCATTTCAGTCTTGCCTATTCCATAACAATGTGCATGGCGTGACGGATTTTTCGAAGTCCATGGATGTCGACTTGATCACGCTCGCCGGTCGCATGGTAGGCGTTAACTGTTCGGAATCAGGTTACCAAAGAGGCCGACTCCGACTCCGTAACCGGGGCCATCAGAGCTAAGGGCTGGAGGAACCAGGGCAGCAGTGTATGGATCAGATAGACGCCGCGACACTTCCTCTCACCGATAAAAGCCCATGCAGAGCTCCAGAGCTCTGGCTTTCAAACGCCATATTGGTTTCCCGTTGCTAGCATCCCATCATTCAGCACTACAAGTATATTGCCCAAATTTGCTCAAGCGTTTGAGCCTTTGCTGCTCCCCATGATGAGACTCGGCGAGTTGAATGACATTCTGAGCGTGGTTGCCCTGCTTGGCTGTCCTTCTCACCAAGCACAGGCGAGCCAGCGGTCTCTTCCGCTTCTCGGGCGACAGATCCATCAATTCCAGAAACCGACATATATTCACGATCTCTACGTGGTATCTAATGGCGATATCCTTCTCACGTATGTGGTTCCGCAAGCCTCCATCTACTCTGTCTCATGGTCGGCGACGCATGCGCCTGTCGTCTCCCTCGTGCACACGTTTGAAAGCATAACTTTGTGACTGGCATCGTTGAGACTGCACCAGGCGTCTTTGTGTTCGTGAGAGGCAACCAAACCAGCGTACGTGTAGGAGTAAACGGTACCTTTGATATATGGGAGCTCGACCTTCGACCGCGCAGAACTTTGGTTCAACAGATCATACACATTTCCGAAAGCGGGTATCTTCTAGGAGTAGAGGCCCTCCCTGGCGAACCTACCACCTTCATAGTGTCTGACGGTGCACGCTGTCTCGTCTCGAAGGTTGACACACTCACTCGTCAGTCCCAAGTGGCCATTCAAGACTCCAACATGCAATTCCCCCGCCACCTGCCTTTTCGTCATGCCCCCTGGGCTCTACAGAATGCACACTCCTCCAGCAGATGGTGCTGCAAGTAACTGTTATAGTTGACTGGTTTTACACGTGACAGGCGCTAAAGATGAGAGGTCTTTAAGATGGCCAATTAGAGGGCAGGATTTTGCATGCTGGCGGTTTTGGTCCGTCCCTTGCAGAATAATAGGACATTTTGTTACTTCGCTCCCTGAGGCATTGCAGGTAATAGCCTGAACTATAGAGGTCACATAGATCTACATTTGCATGTCTTAAAATACGCTGCGACACTCAGAATGCTGTAAAGCACATTTACCCGCAAACGCCCACCAAACGGGCGTCCACGCCTTTCCGGCTCCCTAAGTCCCCCTGTGCCGTAGGCCTTGTCAAACGGGTATGTTTGGGGACGTCATATTAGATCCGCGCCTCAAGCGTGATTTCTGACTCTTTGATGCATGCTCTTCCGGTTTCCTTTCTGTCCAGTTAAAAACTTCAAGACCTTCGAAGAACTGTGATGGAACGAGCTGCTTTTCCCGCTGTCTGTCGATTCAATGTCCACGTGTTTACGGTGTGACCGTGATGGCCTAGATTTGTCGCAGTGGCTCCACTCTCGTTTAGGAGATGAGCTGTCGACTCTCTGGACTCTCGTGGAGCTTGAACGACGGCTCGGGGAACGGCTTGTGGGAGACTTATGGGGATTTAAGTCGTCGTAGACGAGCACCACGGGCCTCACCACCGACACGGGCTTTTTTTTTTCGGCCGAGAACCGGATGAAGCCGGGGTAAAGGCAGTGAAATAGGCCTTTGATGCCATCGTGGGGGCTGAGAAGGCACCATTGTGTGACATCCATCAAGTCCCAATGCAACAAGTTATCAGCAATTTTAGGTAGGTCGCCGGGATCGAATTTCGGTCTGTTTATCTCGTAGCGGAACCGGGAGCTGGCCATGTCCTGCTGCAGCTCGGCCGCAAAGAGAACCAGACCGCCGAGTCCCGCGAGATGATCCGCCGACCGGCTGAAGGACGCCGAGGAGCCCAGCCATAGGTGAAACCACTTCTCCAGAGAGCTAGTCAGGTCGCTGATTATCGTCCTTAGGTCCTTTTCTTTACGGTGCTTAATCTCTGGCACTCTCCAAGAGATGGCGCCCCTCTCGGCTCTCCGCTTGTTGGCCGAAACTGCTATTTTGTTCTTGTGGTTAGCAACACCGCCCCTATCTCGGTCTGGCGTCGTCAAACGCTTGGAAGGGGTTCACGCACACCCGTCGTCGCCGTCCACTTTGGAGGCGTGTATGGGCAAGTCGACGGCGGCTTCGGCATCTGAGGTCAACTCAATAGGGGACCCGATAGAGCGGGGGAACAGGCCGAAGATTTCCCTTTCCAGAGTCTTCCATATTGCAAGCGACAGGATGACGTGGGCGCAGGTTCCATGGTTATTAAGCCATTTTGCCCACCCGCCCACTTCTCTAGTCGTCCCGGACTGTTTCGATTGACTCTTGGGAAACAAGAGATGCTCAACTCGAGACTGAGCCTTCCTCCCCCGGCCTGCCCTTTGACAAGCCTCGCTGACGCTGCATCCATCTTGTCTGAGATGGGGCAGGGTTGTTTGGATCCAGGTGTGGATGGCAATCTGAAGCTTGCTGAGCCGCTCTGAGATGTCCACGTCGGTGACCTGATCCTTCTCTCCCTGTAGCGTATTCACTTTGACCAACAGTTGGCAGTACTTCTGTTCGAGCTCCTCGAACTCCCGAACCGCCTCTGGAGGCCAACTGTGTCGTGCACGAGACGGCCAAGGCCGCAAGGCTGTGGCACCAGATGGGGGCATTGTGATTGTGATTGAAGATGGAGATGCTAAGCTAGCTGGCTAGGTAGGGCCATGAAGGTCTTGCCCCTCTGCTTGGCAACTGCCCGCAGTGACGTGTGTGTGAGGCGCTATAACTTGCGCCTTGCGGCAAATGCATGGCGGCTGTGCGATGCAAGGCAAAGGCAAATGGAAGCCTAGGCGGAGAAGTCCCGAGAACCTTCTGCCGAGACCTTGGGCTGGCACGCGCTTAGGCACATGAAACATGCATATGCAAGGCGACCGCAGCTGAGGTGGCAACTTGCTGCCTCAATTACTGACTTGCGCCATGGCAGCATCTGGCGAATGGCCTCGTGTAAGATGCTTCAGCCGCATGAGACCAAGTACAGTAGATATAGCTTAAACAGGCCAGCCGACACTCACTGATGGGCGCCATCTTTGGATAATTGAAGCCTCTGAAAGAGTCCCGCAGCAGCAGCATACACAACGTCGTCGGACATGCATCGGAGTCGATATGGCAGCAGGGCGGAGGAGAGGTTGGATTCCAGCTCGTCTCCCATGACGATCTTGGTTGCGGTGGACTTCGGTATGCCCATGCCCATGCCCGCGTGTAGGCGCTGTACCTCTGGCTTCATGTTGTTGCTGACATGCGTTGCAGGCGCGACGTTTTCCACCGTCGCCTTCGCCTTCGCAAACGCAAACGTGGTAGAGGTGAGTCCGGCGACGGCATAATTGGGCCAGAATTGACAGTCGGAAGCTGCTTGGGCCCAAGATCGTCACCGACTGGGGCAGCGGACGTAGCGAAGAACACGTGCCAAGGTGCTTCATCTCGCATGTCCATTCCTGGGCTGGCTAACTGTCGAGGCAGTGTTCTCAAGCGCAGCTACGGTGATTCCTTCAACTATGGCTTCCAAGCCCACAACAATGGGAGACAAGGAGAGCCCATTTGCGAATGGTTCAAGCTCGGCCTCTGCCCCGAGGTCGAGGGGGAGCGGGCCGTCAAAGGCCCCCCGCTGCACCAAGACGTCCTCCCAGCCGCCTTGAATCCGGTCAAGGGCAGAGAGTGCAAAAAGCTGGTCACCGAGTACTTGAAACATCTTCACGGAGCGACGGAAAATTATCTCGGAAAGACGTACGACAGCAACATCTGCGGGCTCCCCCGCGAGTACATCGTCACTGTGCCCGCCATGTGGAGCGAGAGAGCCAGGCAGGCCACCAGTGACTGCGCAGCAAAGGCTCTGCAGACGGACCCCAACAAGATTCAGATCGTTGTGGACTCCAAGGCGGCTGGTTTATGCGCCTTGGCCAACATGCCCCAGGTCGGACTCGAGGAAGGAGACACCTTCGTCATCTGCGATGCGGGCGGAATGTGAGTGATGATAGTGATGTATACTGGGTAGAACGTATCTGGTCAGAAAAACCATGTGTGCGGCTAACTTCTCGATCCTCGTGCAGTACCGTCGATCTGGCGTCCTACACGATCAAGGCCCTGAGCCCACACATCCAGCTAGACAAGTCCTCGGACCCGTGGGGCGGGCTCTGTGGGAGCGTCTTTCTCGACATGACCTTCGTCCACTATATCCAAAAGGAGCTGGACGGCTATGTCCCCAACTGGGAGGACAAGAAGAATCAAAAATGGCTCAACTCCATGCGGGAGCAATTTGAGACCCGGATCAAGAAGGACTTCACAGGCGAGGGCCCCGACGACCAAGTGTACCAGATGGACGCATTCGAGCGCCGTGACAGTTCCAAGCATGGCATCAAGGACAATATCCTCGAGATCTCAGCCACGGCTATCCGAGAGCATGTCTTTGACCCTGTTATCCGGGAAGTCACATACCTAGTCCACAACTACCTCGACGCTGTTACCGGAGGTGTAAAGGTGGTGCTGCTGGCCGGCGGATTTGGGCAGAATCGATATCTGAAAAAAAGCCTACAGTTGGCTCTCTCCTACAGGGTCAAAGTTTACGAGATTGAAAAGAGGTAATGCCCCTTGGCGTCAGCAGACGTATGTGGTCCATCTCATTGAGCATCAACAAACCCATCTAGCCAAACTGCCATCGTGAGAGGCGCACTCATAGCTGGGCTTCCCCAAGTGGAGCGGCAAGCGCGAAAAGGCAGCAAACACGACAAATATCCCGGGTCAGACAGCGAAGAGGAACAAGTCCAAGGCTGGATCAGTGTCCGGGCTTCTCCAAGACGCCCCCCGATGCACGTTGGGGTTCCTGCCTTCGAGAGTTATGATCCTCGCAACACTGTCCATAAACAGGGAGAGCACCGCGCGTACGTGGCACCCAACTCCCACCCCACCCGTCACGATAGGGTATATTCACAAGCTTATGGCAGGGAATACTTGGGGCATAACGAAAAGAAAATCCAACTTATGCATTGGGTCATCGACAAAGTGACTCGAGCCTCCCCTCGTTCTTCCTCCCAGGGCCATGTACTCTGGCAAGTCGCAGAACAGCGTGCTGATGCGCATTACTAGAACAAGCCTATAGAATACGGAGTGCCCGAGAAGTTGGCACTCACCTTCGAGACGGACGATTCCAAGGTTCGGCGGTCGGCGGTCATTCAGTGCAAGGTCTGCGGCTTTAATGGCGATCCTCCGCCGTTTTATCCACACACACCCCGGTACCCCAACCCACGTACATCATCCTTTAACAAGCCCGGAAAATAGAAATTTTATGCTAACGGTTCCTAAGACATTATCCCTCTGGCAACACTTAAAATCAAGCTCGATAGAAACGAGCTGGCCGGCATGCCTGACAATGACATAGACGTTGACGGGATCCGCAGATACAAGGTCGACTTCGATGTCCACGTGACCTTGTCCTCGGCCAAGATGACGTTTGTTCTCTGTCGAGGGGAGAAGAAATACGAGCCCAAGGATGTACCCTTATACCCCTTTGGATATTATGGACCTAGCTGATGCTGTGGCCTCTTCTTCGGTTTATTTCAGTACAAGTCAGAAGCCACACTTTCTGGGCGTCTCTCTCTCTCTGCGCGCTTTTGATTGCAGCTCTTTCAAATAGGGGTATTCTGCATTACTATTCATGACCCCTATACCAGCAGATATAGCCTAAGTGGCGTCTCCTTGCTGCGGTGCATGTGTTTGCGCCTACTGTGCCACCGCCTACAAGTACATGCAGGCTCTCGTAAGCAGCATGGGAAAAGTATGGCCGGTCTGGGGTTTGCGAGAGTGTCAGGGGAGCTGTGTGGTTTTAGACGGCCCTTTTAGCGCGGACGTGGGATCGAAACCCTCGACTGTCGAGCGCACGGCTGTCTAACGGGCGCAACCAAAAGTGTTCGCTAGCTAGGTAGGGAGTGCTTCTAGTTGAAAAGACGACGTTCGCGAGGGTAAACCCACGCTTTACAATTCATAGATGAGAAATACGCGAGAAATCACATATGTAATATGACGCGTCAGTTGCCGCGGCGGTGCTGTCGAGGGTGCTGTAACAGTGTAAGCTAAGTGTAATGGGTGTTTGGGGAGGTTTGCTGACTTGGGATGAGGCGTGGCACCAAACCCTGGATTACTGGATCGATCCGGAGCATGCAGAGCAGAGGCAATATACGTAATTACTATGCACTATGCAGCAAGGGGTTCAAAACAACCCATCCCGGACATGCCAAGACGTGGCCGAGGGGCGTGGGAGAAAGAGTTCTCTGCCTATTAGATCCAGAGGGGACAACATGTAAATGTCATTGTCAACTGCCACCAACACCTCCATGGCATATAGGGTCCACTACCAGGTCATCTGTTGGAGTGTCACTTCACTTTTGCCTGCACAGCCTAGTGGTTTCCTCACAGTCATCTTGGTTTCGTGGGCAAAGGGAGTAAGCAAAGCTGCTGTAGCCGATGCAACGGAGCGGATAAACGCTAATGCCGACTACACCTCACTTGCTCCTCGGCGCCTAGCTATGTGCCTCTTGCCTCCTCATGCGATGCTGGGCTGCCTTGCGTGCCGGCTGCCTTGCGTGCCGGCTGCCTTGCGTGCCGGCTGCCTTGCGTGCCGACTGCGGGCTGCCTTGCGTGCGGTGCGGGCTGCCTTACGTGCGGGCTGCCGGCCGCTTGACTGTGTGCGCGATGTGTGTGCTGCCGCGGCTTATATGTCTTTTTTTTTGTTACATCTCTTTTATCGTCTGTTGCGGGACCACAGCACAAAGTCATTACGAAAAGAACAGCATCATCACGATAGCTTCATTCATCGTCCAAGCGGGGCGCTGGGGGTAATCCCAGCCAATTGCCTTCCGAGCTCGGGCCGTCTTGCCAATCACACACTACCAGACGCGCTAAAGGAGCTCATCAAAGAAGCAAAGCAGGAAGCTGCTTACTGCACACTTTACCAAGTCATGGGTAGCGCAAAGCTTACAGCTTTACTTCATGGTATTGATAAGGACTGTTGGGAACAAATATGAGCCCAAGAGGCCCGATTCGGGACGGCTCGATCCGCATGTCGAAGCCTAACCCTCCCCCCCCCCCCCCCTCGCAATGAACAAATCCTGATGCCATGCCCAATGAGTGCGGTTGAACTAGATCTGAGCGTTACACGAGAATTCAACGTCCCAGAAGATGGTGACAGACGCGGCTGCGAAGCGTGCGGACATGTCCCGGGGGGCAACGCCCAGCCAGGTTCTCCCAAGAACGGCCGAGAAATCTTCAGGAGCCTCACCGCGGGCAGTCCGCCACCCGGCATATGTGATGTGCTCTGAAGCACCAAGTTCTATGCATATGCGTGTTGGTGCCAGGCAGTATGCAAGACTTCAGCTGGGCCTATTATCCAATCAGCCCTAGACAGTCCTGGGCGGCGTACGGCAGGCTATACCCACCAACGGGGGGACTAGTAACGGCCCGCATCTGACTATAAAGAGGGCTGAATTCGCGGCCTGACAGTGGCTCTGGACCCTTGAGAAGAGCATACCATGAGGCAGGCTCTAGGCTACCTCTCAATATCACGACCATGGCCAACGGGCCGCAGGGAGCTGGCGACATCCTGCACATGGTGCGGGCGGCTCGGGACAATGGTCGAAACGAGGGCAATCAGGATTGGCTAGCTTAGAGCGCCAGTGAGCAAAGTAAGCCTGACACGGGTGGATCATCAAATAGATTGATGGCTCACAGGTGAGCCTAATGCACTCGTCTGCTCCCGTCACTAGTAGGCGCACCCTACGGTGTTAAGCCCACGAGGAATTCCTACTCATTAGACTGGCATATCTGTAGGCTCTAGTGTTGGGTCTGGGTGATCTCTCCGGCCAAAATATTTGCATTCCCTTACGGTAGCCCTCGCTCTCGACACTGCCACTCTGTGCGTTACTTATGTAACAAGTGGTGTCTAAAAAGGCATTGCGAACTAATTTGGCCTATAGGGTAATTGTGAATGAGATATAGCTGTTACCGAACACTCCATGCTGCAGGGCTTATACTTGGCATTAAATAATAACAAAAACTCGTATTCTCCAATCTGTTGAGGTTAAAACGCATCAAATATAGGTCGCACGTTGGGAACTACCGCTTATACTGGGTCACCAGAGTATACATAAACGATGCACCTCGCTGTATTGTTGTTCAAGTTGAACGTCGCACTAAAGACGATTCGAACGATTTCTTTGCAGGCTTTCCTTTTGCGCCGACACAATGTTACGCACCGTGTTCCTCACACTGGTTGTCCTTGTTGGCTACGGGGCGGCTGTTTCCGTGGATGTTCCAGAAGGCCCATTGTCGCCGGGTCGCACCAATGTGGCCCGTCGGTATTTGAGCGCCAAGACACAGCGTGAGAGAGGTGCAAGCCACATGTCTTGCCGGGAGCGCACTGACATAGTCTCCGATGCAGAGTTTCTCGTCAACGGTAGCGCTATTCCCGAAGTCGACTTCGACATTGGCGAATCTTTCGCCGGTCTTTTGCCAATCTCAAACTCAACCACTTCCAGTCTGTTCTTTTGGTTCTTCCCGAGCGAAAACCCCGAGGCCTCGGAAGAGGTATGAGCAACCCCAATGCTGACGTCGATGTCGTTCTGGCAGACATACTCGTCCCGCGCTGAGCTGGGCTCGTGGTCGCTAACTGGCTCAATAGATTACAATTTGGCTGAATGGAGGGCCAGGAGACAGCGGCATGCTCGGCATGCTTCAAGGGAATGGGCCCTTTCTCTGGCAGCCAGGGACTCGCAGGCCCGTGCGAAACCCCTATTCGTGGACCAACTTGACCAACGTTGTCTATATGGATCAGCCCGTGGGGACCGGCTTCTCCCCGGGCCCGGGAGCCGTCAAGGACGTTGATGATATCGCGGAGCAGTTTGTTACCTGGTTCGAGAACTTTGTGCAAACATTTGATCTAAGACGCAAAGTGTTCATCACGGGCGAGAGCTACGCCGGTCATATGATTCCGTACATCGCCTCGCGAATGCTTGACCGCAATGACATCGCTTACTTGCAAGTCAAAGGGATTCAGATTATCAACTCACTCATCAACGGGTACGATGTGTTGCAACAGGGTAAGCCGTCGCCCGGTGTACTCTGGGCCGCCTCCCTGCAGACTGATGCCCCGAAGCTAACGTAGTCTCACAGCTCCAGCAGTGGCCGCCTTGAACCATTATCGCAGCGTGTTTGGACTCGACGAAACACTCGTCTCCAGCTTCAATGCGAGAGCCGATGAATGCGGCTACAGCAAGTTTTTATTCGAGGCTCTGACATATCCACCGCAGGATAGCTTCCCGGCAGTGCCAGACCATGGGCGGCCGGGCTGTAACATCTGGAGCAATATATTGACAGCCGCGTTCCAGGTCAATCCCTGCTTTAACGTCTACCACTTGACGGATTCTTGCCCCAAGCTTTGGGATGTCATGCAGGACGGCTCGGACAATTACTTCAATCGTCCCGACGTGCAGAAAATACTCAACGTGCCAACGACGGAATACAAACCTCACGGGGGTTTCACTTGGCAAGGCAATCCTGGCAAAGATGCTTTGGGTCCCATGCCAAGTTCGTGGGGTCCGCTTAGGAGCGTTATCGAGAGGACCAACAACACCATGATAACCCACGGCTTGCTGGACTATCTACTGCTCGTCAACGGCACTCTGACTACCATACAGAACATGACGTGGAACGGAGCACGGGGGTTTCAGAGACGACCAACTGAGCCGTTTATTGTCCCGGACGAGTATCGATTATCGGAGTTGTTAAACCAAGAGGATCCGACTCTGCCGGCCGTCGGCAGTGGGGCTGGCCTTCAAGGAACCGCTCACACAGAACGGGGACTCACCTTTACATCAGTCTCTTTCGGTGGCCACGGTAAGTCTGGGGGTCGTATCGTTGCCTTTCTGCGCAGACTGTGTTGCGATAACGGCTAACAGCTCATCAGCAATGTCACAATATGTGCCGGCCGCGGCGTATCGGCAACTCGAGTTTCTGCTCGGTCGTATCCAAACCCTATAGGAGACTTGGACTCCCAAAGATACCGATAGCAGTCTTTTCCGCCGTAACAGATGAGAACTCTTGACAAAGAGCCTGAGGCGCGCCGGCGGGCATGGGAGTAAGCCTTCTTGAAATCGCTCCACATGTAAGGAGCAAGAGACGCGAGGAGACAGAGACTATACAAGGGGGCTAACTGTTCCAAATACCAATACCGCCCGGAAACATGGGAGCATCTCGTACTCCTGACAATTCACCACTGCTGGCCGTTTGGCTGCATTCCTTGTAGATACGCCGTGCCGTTGGCCATAACCAGCTTTAACCACCTTGGGCTTAGACAATTAAAAAAACGTTTCTTTAATACCATGTCCAGAAGGTATCAGCAGACCATCGCTTCAGGTACCCGAGCGTCGTGGCAATGGCATAGATGCCGGCGAGAGAGTCTGTAGGCCCAACGTACATCATGGACCAGAAAATCTGTCGACGAACGATGCAAGTGTCAGCTGCGGTCTGAATGCAGGCGCAGCACGCAATTAAACGGAAATATGGCTGTGGAGACAAACCGTCTTTGAGCCCTCTAGGGTCGTCGCTGCAAAGCTCCATTTGTGCCCCTGCACGATCATGGCCGGAAGCACGCCGAGCTCACCCAACGCCGCCTGGGCGTGGTCTGCGCCGCCAGCCCTGGTCAGCAAGCTTCTCAGCATGCGCCATTGAGTAAGATGCCAGGTCCCGATCTGCAGCGTAGCCTCATCCGAGTCCTTCCCGGTACGCTTGGTCTCGATAGACAGCGAGATGGGGCGGCTGGCGACGGGGAGGTACGACGTGTGGTTAACGGACCGCATAGGGAGATTCAGCTGCAGCTGTCGGATCGCTTCGACGTGGTCGTCGGCTTCGGTGGCATCAGATTCGGCCTCGGGGTTCAGATGGACGCAGAAATCGACGAGTTGGCCGGTGGCTGTAGCAGGGAGATAACCCCTAGCTTCCGGCACCCCCCACTTCCGGCACCCTTCGCAGCACCAAGGCAGGCACATTCCAAACGCAATTGAAGCCGCATTTTAATATCACGATAATTAAATTTAGTGTTTCTAGCTACTCTAGCTGCCAGCTATTGCAAAGAGCTTCAAATCCTGCGTTCTGATTGGCTATAGCGGCGGCAGCCGGCTCAAGCGTGCGCTCGAGCTATTTCTTCGTCTTTATAACTTATTCAATCTATACGAACCGCCTATTAGGGTCCTAAGGGACCTTTTTCTATTTTTAAGGCCGTAGACGATGTAATTAATACTCTAGCTGCTATATTCGAAGTTAGGAGGCTATAAGCTGCCAATTTTGCTTATTAAGGCTGCGGCTAACCTTGCTAAAGAGTAGTCGGATCGTACGGTTAACTTAACCGCGGTTTTCTAGCCCTATAATAAGGCGATAGACTTCTTATAATCGTTTAGGCGTTTTAAGGGCATTGTAAATAGCTAGGGTACTAGAATTCTTTCTTTTTAACGGCGTTAACGGCGTTAACGGCTATAGTAAGACGAACCGGCTTAGTAAGGGCTTTACTATATTAACTAGCTATAGTCCTAACCTACGCTACCCGCCCTTAATATTCTTTTCGGTTAGACCGGCCTACCGGGCCTAATAATATGCTTAGAGGAAGGTAGCCTTGCTAATTAGCGCTATATCGTCGAAAGATACGATTTTTTCGAGTTAACGTTAGTAGGCAGCCTTAATTAGCGAGAAAACCGAGATATTAAGAGGTTAGAGGACGTAGGAGGAGTATGCTAGTAGAAAAAGAAGATAAATACGATTCTTAAAGCATTTATATATAAAATCGTCGGTCTAATAGCTCCCGTAGCTATTAACGATAAGGAGAACGTTCCCCTATAGGTAGCGCCTTATTTAGGGGATAAACACCTACTTAAGCTATTAAATAGCGATAGAATCGCTTATCTAGCCCTTTAAGGAAGTAACGAAGTCCTAATCCTTTAGAAAATCGAGTTCGTTAGGGAACTATTACTATTAGAGGTCCTAGCCCTTAAAGATTATAAGGGGGGTTAAGGCCTAGCCCGTTATAGAGACGCATTCGACGATTATAGTCTAATAACGCGATCTAAGCCGCTTCTTAATAGCCTCCTTCTTCTCTAAGCTCCCTAGCACTAGCCCGTTGCAGCTAAGGCCCTCGAGGATGCCTATTTCGTCTATATTAAAGCGTGATTCCGGTAGGATTGCCTATATAGCCGGCAGCTTAAGTAATTAGAACTATTCCTTGATCCCGCTAATAGAGGCGCCGTTAATACGGGTAGAATTAAGAGATTTACCTTTAATCGTGCTAATCTCTAGGTTTCGGGCTAAAAAGCTCGAAACCTAGTGTTTTCTAAGCGGGCGGGGGTCTCTACTAGCCACGATAATACGGCCGGCGAATTCCCTAAGTTAATAATGCGTTAGAGGCAGCCTAAGGGCCGCTTAGGCAAGAACCTATTTATAGAGGTGTTTTTCCTGCTCTCGACTAAGCCTTTAAGATGCCTCTTTTGCCTCCCTTATAGGTAGGGCTCCTTTAAGACGCGTCTAAAGGGTTATTCTTAGAATACCCCACTTACGACTAGCTTAGAGCTGAGGTATGCTATTATTTATAGCTTCGAGCGCTTCTTAGAGCTGGTTTTCGGTATATTTAGAAAGACGAGGCATCGCTAATTCGAATAATATTTATTTTATAATTATTAAATAAGAGATGCACGAGAAAACGCGGTCACGATGTAGTGGGTAGTCAACGCGATGGTGATGTGGGGAGGTGCCGGAAGTAGGGGGTGCCGGAAGCTAGGGGTGCTGACTTACTCCTTGATCAGAAGGGCTGACTGACTAGTATTGGTAAAGAGCATGTTAGAGACGAGCCGATTCATGAGAGTGGCATGCAATGCACCAGGGCGAAAAGTCGACAAGGCTGCGTTGTTTTCTGCCTTGGGGCCGGAAAACCATCTGCAGGAGACGATGGTGGACGTCAAAGCTCCAGCCCATCTCGCTGTGACTGCGGTTGAAACAGTCGGTCGCGTATTCAAGCACCTCGTCTGCTTGGCTGCGCTACAAAGTGCTCCCCAGGTTCCCCGAGTCGCCGACCGGTGGACTGAAGGCGTCGTCGTCGAGGAGCACTCGTGAGCGAAGGTCTGGCGGGAAGTCGCCTAACAACGAGGCGTCAATGACGCCCTTGTGTTTAAACCAACGATAGATATTGGCCACCATCTGAGTGAGGGCGTGGGGATGGCGTGGGTCGCCTGGCGCGAGATGCCTGGTGGTGAAGCCGTCAGCTTCGATGGACATTTCGGCCAGCTTCCTGGTTGGGGACGACGATGACTTGGAGCCGCGGTTCAGGGAGGATGCACTGGACTGGGTGCCGGTGCCCCTCGAAGCTTCCATGTTGCGACGTGTCGGAGAAGCGGATGAGGAGAACGACATGGGCCGTCGGCCATGATGGACAGGCCGGGGCGTGACGTCATCGACGGGATGCGGGCCATCACGGGAGTTGGCATCGCCGCTGTCGTCGTCGTCGTCGTCGTCGGCGGCGGCGGCGACGGCGGCGGCATGCGGGCGTAGCTGGAGGCGTTCATCGTCGGCGACATGTTCTGTCAACCTACGGCGCTTCGGCGGGAGGGTTCATCAATGATGGCTGCGAGAGGATGGCGTCCAGCCTCAAATGGTGGTGAGAGGAGTCGCGCAGCCCGTCGCTTGAGGCGGCCTGGCTGCAGCTCGGCGGCGGGCTCAACGGGCTGAGGGGTGGGCGTCTCCCGGGATGAGGTTGGCAGCTTGTCGAGCCATGCCACGACAGAGGCAAATTCGTCGCATGTCATGGCATGCTGAGACCGCACAAGCGTTAATGCGAGCAAGTCGTTACGTTGTTGGCCTTGACCAACGTTGAAGCGTTGTCGATGCCTTGTTAAGCTGGCTTAGGTAATATTGACCACAGCTGTGGGGACGGTCGTTGGCGGGGCAACAATGGTGTTGCATCTCGAAAGTCACATGTCGCACTCCTCGCTGCCCAAGACAGAGGCGGCCGTGTATGAAAAGCATCAGATAAGCTCGCGACAATCTAGTCCCGGCCTTCGGAAACGAGGCTCCCTCCCAATCTCCTGCCGAAAGGAAATGGATGACGACGGCGCCGGCGACACCAACGACAACAGCAAGGAGCACGGGACCGTATGACGGTGATTTTGAAGAGCATTTGATCAATCACGAAATCTATCTCACAATGTACCGCATAGGGATATATATGGGCTTGACACGCACCAGGTTTCTATACTAAAGCAAGCATCCCCATGCTATTGCTATATTAAAACATGGGCGGCTAAGGCTGACAGCGATTTCCTGTACGGCTGCTGTAGATATGGTGATATACATACCTGTGAGGAAACCACTGGGTTGTGCAGGCAAAAGTGACACGTAACACTCCAGCGGATGACCTGGCAGTGGACCCAACATGCCATGGAGGTGCTGGTGGCAGCTTACAATACTCCAGTGGCGTGGCTCTGCCGCGCCCGGCAACCTCGACGAAATCAAGCGAGTTCTTAGACAGTATAGTCCCTCACTTTCAGATAGTGCGTATGAGTCGTTCCTAGATGCAGAGTCGCACGCTGCAAAGGAAGCATACGTCATGGCAAGAACAGTTCCCATCATTGAAGGGAAAGTAGACCATCTCAAATGCAGGGCAAGACAGACGTCAGACACCCTTGAGGAATCTTAGTGCCTTGCCCAAAAGTTCCCTCGCCGGGCAACCCAGACGTCTACTATGGCGCACGTCCCAAACAGCTTCGACCACACATTTGCGACGAACTCGGCGGGCGCATTATGCTTTCGGCTGAGGACAGCCTCCCGCTTGCACCAAACTTCTTCCTGCCCCGTCAAGTGCCCTAACGGGTCTCTGTCAGTTGCATCTCGACAGGCATGCGGGCCAAGCCATGGCAACCAGCCAAGAAACGATCCTGGACCACGGCGCCATCGCGCCACCTCCTTGCCAGTCTGACGCCTGGCAGACGAACTGGCTCTGGACTTGTCACGTCCTGTCAGGATAACGGTTACACAAGATGCGGCTAGCATCTCATAATACATGGCAGTCCAATGACTTGCTCCTTTAATGTCTGCGGGGTAGAAAATGCCTCAGCGGAATCAAAAACGCCCCCTCGCAACCCCTCTTGAGGAAACATGCCGTGATTGCGTACGCCTATACAGAGTACAGAGTACTACTATTTGGCAGTTAGCACTTCCCCAAGATACAACCTCGCCACTGTCTTTTGCTCAACTGCAGCTCGACAGCATGGAGAATGGCACGCATTTCCCACTCGCAGCCGCGAGCAGAGCCTGCATGACAGCACTCAATCTCCTCGTGTCCGCCTTGGACGTTTCGGTGGATGAGTACAGGAAACTCATGCCTCCGATTGCAGTCCAAAATCAACGAGATCGGTTCAAGATTTGGGCGGGGAACCTTGGTGCCCTCCAGCAAGGTCGAGCATCTCTCGATTTTCGACTACGCGAGTCTTCGCTCATGCAGACGACTGTCCTAAAGCTTCTGGAACAATTAAAGGACACAGCCAACAAAAGTAAGTCCTGGCACAGACGGTCCAAGACCTTTGCTCACACATAAGTCCAGGCATTGAAGTTGCGCGGGGCTTGAGGCCGCCACTGGAAGAAGCGTTCAGCCAAGACGCCGACCCCTGGGAAGACTCCAGCGACAACAGCAGCTCAGACGACAGTGACCAGTTCAATACAAAGACAGAACTGGGCCAGAACATGTCCGAGATGACTCAAATTCTGTCGGATCTGTTCAGGCTGTCTTTCAACATCCGAAATCCCACAGCCAGATCAAGCACACAATCAATTATCAAAGCCATGCTCCACAAGGAGATGGTCCAGATTGATGATGCGACGAGCGTTGATTTGCTGAACTCTTACTCCAGTTTCGATCATTGTCATGTCCAAGAGTCATTGCAAGAATGGCGGCGCTCTATCTCGAAGGAAGATGGTGCTGTCCACCAAGCCAACCTAATTAGTGTCGACCCGGTGCATCTCCATTCTGGTGCTGAAGCAGAACATGGGGCCCCTGGCTGTCATCTCCTCCAACGTTGGAGCGAATCCATCACCAACCGTCGTCGGTATTTTGCATACTGGCGGAAACACGCACGAAAATTGGCCCAGCAAGACAGACAAGAGACGGTCGACGGACAGTCCCGCTCAAAGCAAACCGAAACCTTGCCAGTGGATGCCAGCATCTTCGGGAAGACAGAAAAAGGCAACTTGCTTCGTCAACGAATAGCGGCGTCAAGTCTCACAATCCTGTCAGGAACAGAGGGCACAGCGTATGACCTAAAACTAGACGACAATCTCGACAACCAGTCTGCAAAATCGTACGCAACTACGGCTTACGGCATCGACGGCACCGTTGCGGAGCTACCGCAGCCCCCCTCGACGCAACCCAAGCAATCGGAATTCACTTGCCAGTACTGCTGGGTCGTGTGCCCCGTGCGGGACGCAAAAGGCAAATGTTGGAGGTGAGACATGTATGGCCTTGTATCGAAAGCAACTTGGTTAACTAGCATTGACTGCAGAGAGCACATCCTTCAGGATCTCCAGCCATACCTGTGCACATATGCCGATTGTCAAGAGCCTCTTACCATGTATGCCAGTCGCAAGACTTGGCTGGACCACGAAGCACAAGCGCACCGCAAAGTATGGCGCTGCTTTGAGCATATCTACCCCTTCAAGTCCAAAGGCGCATTAAAGCACCACCTCGAGATGGAGCACCGAACCCTTGGCAAAGCTCAGATCCAGGGCATCGTGGACCTTGGTCAGGCGACGGTCAAGGATGAAAGGACCACATGCCCCTTTTGCCTATCCAAAGGACCATTCCAGAAAGATCTCGCAAACCACATGGCCCATCACATGGAGAAGCTCGCGTGCTTCGCCGCACCAAGGAGTACGGAAACCAACGCCGATGAGTCGCGCCAAGGGACCCATTCGAATAGTGTTCAGAGAGCTCGATCTGTCGATTTCCTCGGGTCTGTCAGTCTAGACTTCTCTGCAGGTACATATAAAGGGCCCGTATCTGCTGGAATTGGATCCACGAACAACGCCGAAGAGCACTCGCGTCGAGGCCCAGAAGAGCTGATGCGCGTGGCCAACTGGTTAACACCCATCGACTATTCAGGTGAACAGAAGGATCTCATTCACAGACGACAGGAAGGAACGGGGCAGTGGCTACTCGAGTCGAAAGAGTTCCAGGCCTGGGTTCACCAACCAAAAGGTACCCTGTTTTGTCCCGGCCATCCTGGGGCGGGCAAGACAATAATGACGTCTATTGTTGTGGATCACCTCGCAGCAATGGCGCGAAAAGACGCCACTGTTGGGATCGCCTACGTTTATTGCAACTTCTGCCGGATCAGCGAGCAGAGTGCTCTCAGCCTACTCTTAAGTCTTCTGAAGCAACTAATTCAGGGTCAAGCTTCTTTGTCTCAGAGTGTAAGAACACTGTATGACCACTGTCAAGATACAAGGACTCGACCAACAATTGGGGAAATCTCGGCATCACTACATACAATGGCTGCCATGTATTCGAGAGTCTTCATCGTGGTAGACGCCCTTGATCAATTCTCATATCTTAATGGTGACAGCTTGACGCTTCTTTCGGCAATCTTTCACCTTCAAGACAAGACCGGGGCAAACCTTTTCGCAACGTCAAATTTCATCGTGGATATCACAGATACATTCAGAAACGCAATTCGTTTAGAGATCAAAGCCGATAGCCACGACTTGCAGGCATATATCAATTGCCGCGTACCTCCGTGTGTTCGTCGTGATCCAGATCTACAGGAGCAGGTCAAGAACGCAATTGTCGGATTTGCGGACGGCTTGTATGTGGGCCTCTTTACTTATTGATGAGAAACCAGCTGACTCCACTAGATTTTTGCGTGCAGAGCTTCTTGTTGATACCCTTATGAAAAATGCAACAATTGAGACTCTTCAAGCTGATCTGGCGACTCTGCGGGTGGGCTACGCAACGGTTGGGCATTTTTACGAGGACGCAATGGGGCGAATCGCGAGACAGTCCTATGACCAGAGACAGCTTGCTATGAAGGTGCTTTTATGGATCACCTGCGCAAAGAGACGCCTCAAGACAGCAGAATTACAACATGCCCTTGCGGTGAAACCTGGCGATGTCGGTCTTGACGAGGATAACCTTCCACAAATCGAAGACATTGTCTCTGTTTGCACTGAATTCGTACTAGATGACAAGGAGCGCGGGACCGTCCGGCTCAGACACTCCTCAATGCAAGAGTATTTCAACCAGACACGAGAGCTATGGTTTCCAGATGCGGACGTCGATATCGCGATGATCTGTGTTACATACCTCTCATTCGATGTCTTTCACAGTGGCATCTGTGAAACCGAGAGCGAGCTAAAGGAGCGGCTGCAATTGTACCCGCTTTATGGATACGCCTCGTGCCAATGGGGACACCATGTTGGCCGGACTTCGACGCTCACGCTCCATCCTGTCGTCATGGAGTTCCTGAAGGATACGCCGAAAGTGGAAGCTTCAAGCCAGGCACTTTTGAGATTCTGTCGATCAGACTTTACCAGAGACAGGGAGCAAATGGGAGGGCTTCACTTGACGGCGTACTTTGACCTTTGGGACTTGTTTGAAGCCCTGTTTAAGAACGATGCGAATTTCAAAGGCAGCAATGGCCGGACGCCACTGTCATGGGCTGCCGAGTCTGGGAAAGAGGCCGTCGTTGATATGCTTCTCGCCAGCGGTGCCAGCATTGACACAGGCGATGCCGGTGGCCGGACGCCGCTGTCATGGGCTGCTTACATCGGGCAAAAGGCCGTCGTCCATCTACTGCTAGCCAACGGCACCAAAACTGAGACATGCGATGTGAGTGGCCGGACGCCGCTATCGTGGGCCGTTGAGTCCGAGGACGAGACCGTCGTTAGTCTGCTGATCGCCAGCGGCGCCAATATTGAGACAAGAGATACGTCTGGCCGGACGCCGCTGTTGTGGGCTGCTCGGCTCGGGCAAGATGCCATCGTCCATCTGTTGCTAGCCAAGGGCGCCGATCCTAAGATAAGCGATACGGGCGGCCGGACGCCGCTATCGTGGGCCGTTGAGTTTGGGCACGAGGCCGTGATAAAGCTTCTACAACCACAAGAATAGTCGGTCTCCTCTGTCCTACACGGTATGTAATCGTGTATAGATTGTATCGTGAATAAACTTGTGTATCGTTCATCGATTCTCATCGATTCTCATCAACTCAGCTCCCCCTTCCGAGTCAGTGACATTGGTGCTGCGTGCGCAGAGCGGTAGTGGTCCACTGGTGGCATCTAACTTGCAAGGTTTTCCCTAGAGGGCCTTCAGATGGACAAAACGGCCGTGCTCCGTATTGAGGGACTGCGTCCGCTGCTCTTGGAACATAATGTCAGCCTCAGACCTCAACAAGGCACGTGATATACCATCGATGCAGCAAGTTGGTGATGCTGACGGACTGGGCCGTGCGGGGTGACCATCTGCCTCTCCTCGGGCACAATCAAAGCTCAAACACGGTCCCTCTAAGCGTTCAAGCCCCACGACTAGAGCGTAACTCAAGCTGCCAATGGCCGAGATAGCGGGCCTAGTACTGGGCGTGTTGCCGCTCCTGATATCGGCCTTGGAGCACTACCAAGACGTCGCCGAGCCAATGAAGGTCTTCTTCAAATGGCGGCAGCAGCTGGGCACTTTTGTTCGCGAGCTTTACATGGGCCACACGTCCTTTGCGCAGAGCATCTCTCTGTTGCTGAAGCAGAGCGTGGAAAGCTCCGAACTCAACGAGATGATTGACAAACCGGGTTGTGACCTGTGGAGGCGCACCAATCTGGTCGAGGACCTCGAGCAGCGGCTGGGCATTGCCTACAAGCCTTGCATGAGCACCATACAGGAGATTGCCGAAATATTGATGGCCATAGCTGGAAGCTTGGACATTGAGGGGGCAGACAAGGTCGGTCAAACCTCTTGCTTTGCAACAGTGGAACGCAGACACTTGCTGACGCTTGGCTCGAGGTTACCGTCCTGGGCCTCCAAGCCATCGTCTTTGCCAACCCGCCTGACCCGACCGAAACAGTATTGAAAAAGAGGTACCACTTTAGGAGGCGAATCAACCTTGTAATGGACCGACGAACGATATCCGGCTTGCTGAAAAGGCTCAAAAGGTGCAATACAAGGCTCTATGAGTTCCTGGAGAAGGCAGACAGGATTCACGATGACGTGTTTGACTCTCGCGTCAAGATACGGTTCGTGGCTCCCCTCTTGCGCATTCAGGGGAACGCCTCGAGGCTTCACAAGGCACTGCTACGCTGCTGGTGTGCCGCACACCCCGTACATTACGCGGGGATTTTGTTGGAACAGCGGCTGGTCCCGCGACGGCAGACAAAACGAAGAGGCGTGTCACAGGAAGCCGACCAAGGTGACTGTTTTGGCATATCTCTGCTGAGAATCCCCGTCTCTGTCTGGGTGAATGCCGAATTCCGTGTCGATGAAAACTTGGAGCACTCGGCCAGGTGTGTTACAACACTCACTGCTCGACCCAGCAGACTCGGACTGACCGACACGCGCAAGCAGTTCAGGATGCAAGCACAGAGTTGCCTTCTCTTTTCAGGATGCGACGCCCCAGCTTCAGCTACAAGAGGTAACTGACATCTGCTCCACTGTTGAGTGGGCGACACATCCGCTAGTGGGATTCCGGCTCGACTCGACAGAGGTGCTGCGAGGACCGTATCTGATCGATACTCCGTGCACCTTCATCTCCAATACGACAACCCTTTCCGACTTGCTAACCGACATGAAGCGTGCCGACTTCCCTGACCGAGACCGCTACACACTGGCCATCACCCTGGCCTCGTCACTCCTCCAGCTCAGCGAGACACCCTGGCTCGAGCATCCATGGAGCAAGCGCGATATCTTGTTTCTCCGAATCAAGGAGGACAGCCACGACTCTCCGGACATCGAGCACCCATACCTGACCCAAGGCTACGAGAGCACAGCTACAGGTGCTCGAGCCGTCAACAACCAGCCAATCAGCCGCCGCAACCTCCTTAGCCTTGCCATATTGCTGCTCGAGATCCGGTTCGGCATTCCTATTGAGAGACGGCAGCAGCCCGAGGACTTGGGGCCTGACGGCGAAGCGAACGAAGCAACGGACCTCACGACGGCCGGTCGATGGCTGAGACGTGAGGCCGATAAAGGGAGCCTGTCCACGGCCTTCCTCCAGGCCATTACATACTGTCTCAAATGCTACATCGACCCATCCGCGACCTTTGGCAACCCTGATTTCTCAAAAGCCGTCGAAGACAAGGTTCTGGAGCCCTTGGACCGAGAGATGAAGTATCTCTTCGCCTAGAGGATGTTTCGTCATTGGACCTGGCTCTATTGTCGTACTCGAGGCTATCGACGTAGCCCCCTTGACCTCTTCTGGAACATCCCAAAAAAACCCTTCTGGACTTGGGCTCGTTACTGCCTGCTCGCGCAAGGCACCTTTGCCATATATGCTGCGTCTGACGCCGTATAGTTGAGGATACCGTCCAGACCCTCGCCATCTACAGGATGGGCTAGGCATCCTTGTCCATGGACACGATAGAGGTGGTAATTGATGAACGTAGGGAGGCCGATGCCCTCGAGTTTGCAAGCTGGGTGCTTAGCGTCAAGAGCGACGATAACTAGGCCGTGTATGCCGACGACGACAATGTCTAAAACTGGCACAAATAGCAGTGCAGACACGCCGAATGATACAACAGGATATGGCCACTGTAGAGGAGACTTGGACGCCTCCTGCCTATCCCCGCGTTCCCCGACTGACAAGACCGATAGCTGCATGAGAGAGTAGCCTGTATCATGAGAATTGTAGGCCCTTGCGAAACTACGCTTAGGCTAAGCCGAGGTAATGCATTTATAGCCATCATTGTCCTTTTGACTAGAGGCGATGGTGCGACAATTGACGAAACGCCAACGCCAACGAGCGTCAATATGCTTCTTGGCGCAGCGAAGCCAGTCCACATATCGCTCAAGGGGAAAGAGGCAATATATTTAGCTGCCTTATTTAAGAAACGCACATAACGGGGGCTACTTATAATAACGAGATTTTGACGAGGCTTTCTAGGGAGAGGCTAGGAATAAGTATTGCTTGGCCAGCCCAATTATTCTACGGCCCGTGTTTCTAGCCTCCAAAGGACCTGAACATCTTGGACCGGACAAAAAGCCGAAGATGGGACACCAAGGCGCCGAGTTATCAACTAGGAGCGAACGACTTATCCCCAGTCCGACAACCGAGATAGTTAGGTCGCTCGGGCGCCTGCTCATTCGGCGTGATTACGCAGGACCGCCCCCTAGCTGCCCTATCCCCTTCTAGGCCATAGCGGCATAGGTCGGTGCGGCAGCCGTCCTGTCTCTTCCGTGGCGGTTATCAGCGGTCCTACCGGCGCGTAAAGGAGCGCTGTTAAGCGCGTCGTCCTAGTAGCTAAGGAAGCCACGCGAGAAGTCCTTGGCGAAGTTAAGCGCGTAGCCCGAGGTAAACTAGGCGGCCCTCCTATCGAAGGCGGTGCAAAATGCGCGGAAGACGGTCGCGGGCGGCCTGCCGAAGGAGCGCTTCTCTGGCTTTAGGAGGGTTCGTAGGAGTCATCGGCCCCTGTTCCTAGGACGCTATTCGCGCCTTGTCCACGGGGTTGGGTGCCATCGCCTCCCTCAGCTCGCGCTGAGCGTGGTACTAGGCGCCCTTGTTAGCGGCCGGGGGTTTTGTCGGATGTTAACTTAGTGCTGTAGTGTTTTGGTGAGAAAGGCTGCTGGAAGGGGGGTATGCTGTAAGCTGGGTGGGCTACACCCGCTGATGCCGCTGTACCGTGTCATCGGACGTTGACATGCTGCGGAGTGCTCGAGAGCGAGAAGCCAAGCATCGCGCAACCTCTCCCCTCTGCCATTGTTTCCTTTCTCTCGTCAACCTTCCACCGTCCTCAGCGGCCGCGAGAGCCGCTGCCTTTCGCCATGAAGACACCGCCGTCTCAGCAGCCGGATCCGCCGAAGCTGTCACGCCTCAACGACGGCATCGGCGCCCTCTCCATCCACCAGAGAGCCCGCCGGTACCCCCGAGCACGAATCATCTCCGAGCCTCTGCTGTGGACAAAGCTGCACCTCGACTTGCTCCGATGCGGCTTTGAGGGTCCCCGACCTGCACCGCCCGTCGTCATGAAGCTCGATGATCCCGAGGATAATGAGCGCATGCAGAGACCCCCAAATCAGCCAATTTACCATCTCGTGTTGGGATCGTATCTATTACCATCACCAAGGAAGTTCAACTGCTTTGCAATTTCTTACTTACTTGACGTACATATAGTGCTGCAGCCGGGCTAACGACGCACGTGGAAATTGCCTGCCGTCATTGTTACATCTAATGCAGCCGCAACTGTAGTCTCGCTTACCGTCGTGTCTCCCAAAAGTTGCCCAAGCACTGGCACCTATTCGTTGCGACTGACTGATGATTAAGCTTTGCGGCAGTAACTATGGTGTAGAGATCGCTATATAAGAAACAAGGGCATGATATGAATGAGACTGATATGAGGATAGAATCCAGCTGGTGTAGTAGAACTTATTCAACCAGGGTTTGTGGTTCCCAGTAATCATTCTCTACACTCCGCTTATGCGAATCCATAACCACGTCAAAGGCGAGTTCCGACTCCTTTAATACGCTCTGAACTTCCTCTCGATCTAGCAATCGAGGATTATGCCGAATCGTAGCCACAACAATATCTCTCAGTCCTCGATCGTGGGGTAGTGTCGTCGCGTACACCTTGCGTGCAGCCTTAACAAAGTCGCTGTGGTCCCACCATTTCTCAGACTCGGTCTTGAACTTCTGATACGCTAATTTCTTGAGAGACGGAATGTCGTATTTCTCGGCCAGAGCGTAAACCCGGCAGTGATGGAATAGTTTCGGCTGTTCCTCTGCACGTGAGGACTGACAGCCAAATGCGTACCCTCGCTTTTTCCCGTGCTTACGGTTTTTTTTTTGGCGTGGCTGGCCAACAGCCGGCCGCTGGAATGACTCGGTTAGTTTCCCGTTAAGTCAAGCTGCTTTGCGGTTTTCTTACAGCCCCAGGGTCTTCCCATGAAGGAAACACGGTATCTCTGCTTGAACTATCTTGAACGGTTCTGTCTAAGGAGTCGCTCTCCTCGGAACGGTCGAGTGTGGGCACCGAGGGATAGTCGAGGTGGTAGAGGTAATAAACCATTGATTTCACAGCTTCGGGGTCGTCGTCTTCCAGATTCACAATCCCGGTTGCCCTTTCCTGCGATTAGTCAATGAACCAACGCCAACATACGGAACGGTAGTCTAACCTGCATATCGTGCGCAAAAGCAGCCCTGAAGAATGATGACCGGGGCGAGGTGACGGCTTTGTGGACACGAAGCTCATAGTCACCACAAGTGATGGTACAATCTAAATACTCGCTGGTGGCATAAAGTCTGGAGCCGAAACGACATGAGTATTGGTTGGTCTGAGATTCGCTTAGCCACATGTACTCACCCTCGAAGCGAGTCGAGCAACTCGTCCCGTAGTTCGTCTTGTAGCCTGTCATCCATTCCCCTCTTCTGGTACGTTCCGTGTGATGTAGAGGAAGAACTCACGAAGAGGGGTTCCCCTCCCCGTGGTTCATTTAAACGGCTCCTAGTAGCCAGGCATCCAATCATACTGGAAAGAAATTCGAGCACTAATGCCACACTCCTGCTGGCCGCTGCTCAGCCGCCCTGAATTTCCCGGGGGCATCTTGGGTGGCTTCACAAATCCATGGACACCAACATATGATGTCCTCAAGTCGAGCACGTGTCAGATTGAAGCTCTTTGGGAGGGCTGGATGGAAGCCGTATCCTCTTCAATGGCCGTCTCGATATCGCACCGTTTGCGGACTCTCGTTTTCGCTGTAGCTTCTCGGCATCTGTGAGGAAACTACGCAACGGTCGAGCTTAATGGATAATGAAATAGTCTCATGACTCTTGGCCATTTTATCGAAGGCAAAAATCGCCAAGTTGGAGTGTTAGGCATCAATCCTGGCTGCAGACGACCGTCGGCTCGTCGAAATGGCTGCCGCAGGTTGGCTTTTACTCTTGTAAGGGGAGGGAAGGGTCATTGCACCAAGTGTGAGATTTCCTCTTGTGCCTCTAGGCAATCAATCTCTTCGTCGTTGGATTGAGTACATTTAGGGCGTCACAGCGACACTGTCGGATCCCTTCTAAGCGGAGTGGTGTCAATGCCAATCACGACCTTGCTGTTACCACCCGAAAAGAGGATGTAGCGAGGTCCAAGATCAGATCGGATGAGCATCTTTCTCTTTTTGCGGCTGACGTAATTACTGAAGCATTGAAAACCTCAATTTCCTCTTCCGATCAGCTTAACTCATCTCTATTAAAACAGCTGTTCGGTGGGGGAGGTACGCAGATCATCGTCGCGCTCAAACATGACGAGATCGCCTCGACAGCTTCGATTCACAGGTGGACAGTCCGCACGCCTTGATTATGGAGCGCGAGAGAAAGAGGAAAAATGGAACGGGCCCGAGGGTGTTGGCTTAGGACGGGGACGGTGGTGTGTTCATGGAAGCCCAGATACTCCAGCGGCTTCGATAGGGCAAGCAAGCATGGCCAACGGGTGTCGTTGCATGTGCTTTCGCCATTGCCACCTCAAGTATTCTAAATCAATAGAATAAAGAGTAGCAGTAGTGTCATAAATCCGATCGATAGCTAAGCCCTAGATTACCCCCAAAACTGCTGCCTGGCGTCGCCATGCCTAAGTGTGACGCTATAAACCCGCGTAACATAATGCCAAAAATAATCCAGGCTTTTTATATCTAGATCTACCTCCTTGCATTTTAGGTGATTGCAGATGAAAAAGCCATCTTGCTTTGTCCCTTCTATTATATCCAATGCTCGCGACTAAAGTAATCATATTATGATCGGGCGGCAACGAGCAAAAGTCTTTTCATCGAGACATATAGCTTTATCGCCAATATAGTTCGGACACTCTATTTTTCTCGTAAGAAGTGGAAACCTGTTGGGTCCTGGTGATTCCTCCTTTACCGGGGATCCCGCTTTGCGGTATGTAGCAGATGCACTTCTGTTTGACCTTTTATCGCTTGCTATTAAGAGCCTCTATAAAGCTAGATGTCATCGCAAATAAGCACAGTGCCGATCAATGGAGACACATCTTTATTTTAGTCAACTTGCCCCGAAGGACCCAGCGACGACAGACAAAATACGTCATCTTTAACCGCGACTCCTACTATAACACACCTAGGTTCCCTGACTTTCATGTTACGATGATGAATCGAAGTGGCTAATTACTGCAATACGTAATATATAATACATAAGTAATGATTCTATACCCGTATAGCATGCAGGCCGCGAGATTATGCAGACATAAGACCATCCATATTGGCAATATATTGTCTATTACTTTCCTGCATCATGATGTAATGATGAATAAAATACAACACCGAAGCCTCCGCAAGCTGTCGTATCTTTGAAGCTATCAATGCTGTATCCCTATATCACTCAGGCTTCAACTCCGTTCTTTCAGCCTTTCCAATCACTTTCTCAAGCGCCTTCTCTACCAGCTCCCACTACAAGATTATCGTTCCACAGAACCATCTCTTCAACCCTAACACCATCATGAAGTACGTCATCGCAATCCTCGGCGCCGCAGCTCTGGCCCGTGCTGTGCCTACTGCCAGCCAGAAGCTTCCTTGGATCGATGATGCCCACCGCGAGATGGCTCACGAGTGTGGCTTTTGGGGTTACAGTGACGAAATGTGTGGCACTCAGATTTATTGTGATGCTTTCGACTCTGCCACATTCAACAAGCCGACAGAGTTCAAGAACGCACAGGAATGCTTTAACGCTCATGAGGCAGCGCCAACGCTTCCTTGGATTGCAGCTCCTACCCAAGTCCGACCCAAATGGTGCGAGAAGGGTGTCTACAGCGAAGAGTGTCCATTTGAATGCGGCCTGCAGGGCATGTACAACGATGGCTTGTGTGGCACTCAGGCTTATTGCGATGCTTTCGACCTTGCGAAATATAAACCCCGCGGTTACAAGAACGCCAAAGCATGCTTCGCCGCCCACGAGCCTAAGCCGTCGGAGACCTCCTAGCCGACCGCGACCACCAAGACAAGCCCTAAGAACACACCTACAGCCGGCCACAAGCTTCAGCGAAACGCAAACTAGGGGTCGTTAGAGGGGTTACATGATCGATCTTAACTAGCAGAAGGTTGAGCTCTAGGTTGTGGAAGAACTGTATCTATATCTATCGACCTCCGCAACAACCGATGCAGTTGATCCCGAAGAAGGCTTAGCGCAACGTGTCTATGGATGTTTTGAAACTACTTCTTCATGAAAGGTTTCCAATGCTCTTCCCGTTCGGAACACCTGAACCCAGCGTCTTCCTGGCACCCATCCATCCTCGAAACGCACCACCCAAGCCGCACAGCTCTCATTGTTAAATTATGCGTTTCAGTTAACGAGCGACATATAGTCATATAAGAATGGCCCTCACAGAGCTCTCCTCGGGGCTGGTATCCTCGACGTGAGAGATTCCTAGGCCTACTTCTTCGACAGCGACCAACTCATCCAGGGCACTATCTATAGCTGCTGCGCTACTTACTTGTCGGAAAACCGCCGTTGTCGAAAGGCATACCAGTAAAACGGAGATATGTTAAGGTATGCTTCGATACTAATATATGTGAGCTTAGCCGAGTATTCTAGAACATAAGTGATGACCTCTATAAGCATACGTTTGGAAGAACTGTTGCGCCTTCTTCCCCTTAACGGCGTCATGGATAGTATTGTCTCCACTGTCTTCCCGCCAACCCTTAGCCGCGCTGCTATCCATCAAGGCGGTTAGGAGTTCGGCCGCAGCGGCCACATGCTTTCCACACCGAGTCGTCTGCATTTATCATGTAGTTTGTAACATAAATATAAAAGGGTTATAGACTTACGCCTTTATGCTATTATCAGTCGGCTTGCCTATTTATAGACGTGCGGAACGGCTATCTCAAATAAGTGCTCGAGGTGCCAGACGGCGTGGCAGGTTCGGAGGGGAGAGTGGAGAAACCTTTCGGTCTGCCCTCCCTCTATTGATAGTGTCATTATCATGAGGGAAATTGATCATACGGCTCTCAGAAATAAGCTTAAATATTTCTTCGTTTCTTCTGTCCACGGTGCTTCGACAGAAGAGAAACGCCCATCAAGGCTGACCATGCAAAGTCGACTGCGAGACAATTGGCTTCACATTGGTCAGAGAATCAACCAGAAATGATTTGTAACTATTCCGTTGGTTTGGCCGTCGATATTTAATGAGCCTACACGCACAATCCCAGAACCAACAAATGCTGCAAAGGGTCCTCGTCAGTCAATCCATCAGCAACGCCTGGTGAATTACGCGACATATGCAACACGTCCTGTCCTCTGCACATACACCTTCTTGATCAGGCCACTTCTTCGTAGGCTGTGTCGTCGCGGTGAATGCTGCAGGTCGTGGATGGTCCAGACAGGCCCATCGAGCGAGGCTGGACTGACGGGCTCTTGACTCTCGCTTCACACCACATTTCTCGAGGTGGCCGCTACGCCTGGGGCGCCATTTCTATCGCCCCATCAGCTTGCGAATGGTAGGCCGTGCCGTTGGTAATCGCTGTTCGATCCCTGACAACTCTCACAGCCACCGCCAGAGTCATCATGTCCAATTGCTTTGAGAGTTGTCGAAGACACAGCCCAGCCACAGCCTGTGTGATGCACGTCACAGATTAGCCGCCACCTCTTTCACGGATCTTGGTGATTGTCAGCCCAGTGTATGTGTCGACGTATATAAATACGACGGTTTTTTTTTTTTGAGCACTTCACTACGTCAGTCACTCATGTTTTTCAACCTATTTTGTTCTTGAGCTTGAACTTTGTCAATATATCTCTGAGACGCTAGGCTTCATAAGATAACGGGACACTCACAGTCCTTGCTCAAAGATAAAAGGTAGGTTCACAAAACTTCAGCACGTGTCTCTATTTGTGCTCTCACTAAATTGATGATATTTTGGTCATACAAAGGCTAGGCTAGACTTCTCTGTTCCAGCTCGTCGCCGTTACAATGGTCACGTCAAACTACGTGATTGAAATCTCAGAAACGGCCATAATTGTTTCCATCTGGGACGAGTTCCACGTCGAGGCAGCCAAGTTCTCCGGCGAGATGGTCCTCGCTAAATACGGTGGCTTCGTCATTGAGATTGGCGGCGACATCAAGCTGGCCACGGATGACAATATGACTCGTGAGGTGGCTCAAAATTTCGAACCCCTTCCACCATTGAGCGACGACGAGGAAGTATTGGGGGAGAGGACACCTCAACCGAATAGCAGGTCGCTTGAAAAGAGAATGTGCTCGCATCCGGGTTTCTTCGATTCGTCAATATGTCCCACCTATACCGACTATCACGCCTGTACTGGTGCAACGCACAACAAGCGCAGGCGACGCATTTGAAAACCATCATTGGCAAATCAGGCGGATATTGTTTGCTCTTTCCAACAAGGTGACATCGGGAGGAAGGCCAGGAGGTTTAGACAAGCCGGCAACATAAAATCAGGCAAATGCATTTTTCGACATAATAACTTCCCTCGTTTTCTGTCACCTTGCCTCAGAGATAGATGAGTATGCCTTCACCTGGCACATGGCAGTATGCAAGCCTGAGTGACTGTTCGAATCTTGACACGTAGACTGGAGCGTGTCACAGCCTGTGTCTCCGGAAATCTATTGTGAATGTAACGGACTCGGCCACGGAAATACTCTGCCAACAAGCGGACGATCTAAGCTTCGACAACTTCTCTTGGTTGCGTACTAGGACGGCTGAGCTTATAGTTACCTTGAGTGACAAGCACGAGACAGCCGAAGGGAGATGTGTCTATAATAAACTACAGACCGGTATTCCCATCCTAGGAAAAGAGGAAATACTAGAGCTTGACTGATATGATTCTGCTTCACATGAGGAAAGATATTATTTCTGCATCATATTGGCAACAGAGCGATATCTATTAAGAAAAGGGGTTTCTCTTAATACCGAGCGATAGTACTAAATAATGGCTTTAATCATAAGCACCTAAATATATAAAGGAAATATGGAAGGAACTAGTTCGATTGCGTGCCATTATCTAGAGTAAAAGGGGGCGGATTTGAAAATGAGGAGTCCCAATGACTGCTAGACCTATGTTCCTTCGGTCTACAGCGTTATATACACGTCATGAAGTAATATGAATTCACACGCATGCTCAGCTGTAAAGACAGGTTTGGCTACGCGGAGCAATACAGTCCATCCCCACACAAGCGCCATAGTTGTGTCTTTAAGAGCTGTCTAAAGAGCCTCAGTAGAGAGGCGCTGCTCGGTCTCGAGCGAGCTGGAAATATAGCAACTTCTAATACGCTTGAGTATATTGTCAATGCTTAAACGTAGTCGGCCAAACATGATGTGGCGATTCTGCGTCTTTCAGCGAAAGGCTAAAGAAGAGGATCAAGTTACATAGCCTCCAAAGCTCATGCTGCCGGTTAAATTAATAAGTTCATATAGTCTTGGTATGCATTTAGGGCCTTACGCTTTAATTATTCTCTTATGACGTGCAGAGGATTTGGACTTATGGGAGTCAGGAGGGTTAGCGCGAGTAGACCCACTACGGTGGTAGTTAGACGACTGACGATGGATTTATTATCTAAAAGAAGCGAGCGGGTCGCTCTTAAGTTGAAGAAGGGAGTGTCGATCCTTGTGGTTGAACTAAAAAGTGTTCTTGATCGGGTATCGGTTTTCTTTAACCGGAACAAGCAACGTCTAATACGGGAACGAGAGCACGCCGGCAGCGCATGCTGCAATGCGAGGATCCGGGCTCGAGGTATTAGATCTTGAAGGAATTTTTCAAGCATTGATAATGCCCAGTAATAAGACTCTGCAAGTAGCCCCGGGATCACCTTTACGTCTATGATAATTTTGAAAGCTGGCTCGATAACTCTCCAAGTGACCGTCAAAGCGAGTTCTAATATTTTCCGTCAACCTTCATCAATTCCATCTTCCCCCTGCTGAGGCAGCCGATGCTATTCGACTCCCCGCCCCTATCTTATAAATAACTGGCGGCTTTCGTTTCTTGTTTAGGTTATGCCTCATCGACGATGGTCCCTCCCTGCCAAGCCTTTAATTTCCTCTAGTCCCTTTAACTCGAGTCATGACACGCCCTGTCTGGGCCCCTCTTTTGTGCTTTTCCATCGTTGCGAAGTTATCTAGAAGGGAATAACCCAGCTTTCTTTCTTACTTGATCAATATACTGCTCTCGGGGAGCCTGTGAGTGGTTGAGCTCGTGTCACTTCCGCAGCAGCTGTCAGCAATCTACCTAGAAGCGTTTTGATGGCACTCGTCGAGAGTCATGGGGCCGAGCCAACGTGTCGTCACGCCATCTCTTTCAACTACGGCGGAAATCGTGCTTCCCGACTCAGGCCGGATTCTCACCGGGAGCATATAGTTCGGCCGACAATCCCCCTCCCCTGTCAGCCGACCCTGAAGTGGGACGTGCAGTAGCTCAGCCGCCTTGGCGCTTGCTTGTGATTCTATATTTAAGCCAATCATGCTGAAAAGTTAACCTGACCGTTGATCATGTTGCTCTCGTATTATTCCAATAAAATATCATAGTAGCTAACTCTGAGCACTAAACTAGCCTTTATCTCAACCTACACGTATACAAACCAGCCAACCCTAAGCCGAGCTTTTAAGAGTTAATGATGTCTTTTTTTTGGTCGGCTTGACACCGGACAAGCTCAACAAATCGGCCCAGGTCTTGGCGGTCTGGGGCGGCGGGGACTGCAATGATCAGCCCTATACTTAACCTGCCAATTTATTGAGTTTAACGTTATTTAGTGTACGCAGCTTCCGATACAAAAAGCTACAAGAATGTCGCGCCGACCAAAGCATTGGTCGACACAGTTCCCACATTGTTGTCGGCTTACATGGGGGGTGGAAGGTCGGCTGGTCCCACATACTCTCTCAGCGGCGACTCCAAGCCATGTTTGTCGCGTTTCCGGTCAAGCCCGGCATATCTCCGAGGGCCATGATGGCTTCCACGCGGAGCCTCACGCCGTCAAAACAAGCTTCAGACCCACCCACACACGCCCGATGCATGCTGATAGACTACGATGGATTCGCTCCCTTCACACCGTCTTCGGCTCACTCTCTAACTCAACACCTGTAAATCCACTCGACTTCGGCCTTTGACCCGTTGTGCTAGCACACCAGAGGGTGATTATACTATTCTCTCGGCCCCTGTTGAGCTGGCTCTGGGGTCTTTAGACCCGGCCTTAACTTAACACCAACAAAGCTCCAGTGCCACAAGCGAGCGCCAGGGATTCAGCCTATACTGTATTCTCGTATGCGCAGTTCATGAGCCATGTATCTTGCTCCACCGTCGAGGTAATGGCTCGTTTAAACATGCCTTGGTTCGTTATATCATAGCGCTCTCCTGCGTCGTCTCCTTAATGCTTCATTTCACCCTTTTAATTCTTTTCTTCCGTTTACTCAGCCCTACCGCACGCTCGCTTTAAAAACCTCCCGCATCACCAACGCCCTCAGTAATAATACCTTGTAATCCATCTTTCCAACCCCCATAATGGCCCGATCGATTGCCCTCCTCGCCGTCCTCGCCGGCGCCGCCGTGGCCGCTGACTCGAGCAGCACGATGAGCGTCATGCTCGTCGGAGAGAACGGGCCCGTGTATGGCTCCGTTCTCGGGGCCGACTCGACGGCCGTCACTTTCAAGGCCGGCTGCGGTACCGACGAGGCTTGCGATGACATATGGGAGGGCAAAACCGTCAAGCAGGGCCCTTCGACCTTCTCCATTGCCGGGGGCGCCACCAAAGTCGGCACAGCGTGCGTTCCTCCCAACATGCTCAGCCCACATGCGTTTCCCCCGGGCTGCTGCATGACACGAGTGTGCAAACGTTGAACCCCTCTGGTCTCGAAATAACTAACATTGGTCTTTCAAAATATAGCACCGGGGGATTGGACTGTGCACTTGATCCCAAGGTCAACCTCGCCAGCTGCACCGTGACCTTGTCGGCCGAGGACAAGGATGGCCATCACGCCCACTCAAAAGCCCAAACGGTCCTCTCCAACTACCAGCAAGTCATGTTCCCCGTGACCCTGACCGCCGGCCTTGAAAAGTTCTCGTCTGCGTCCGCCGCCACACCTGCCAGTGCCGCGAGCGGCCCGAGCTCGACCATTTCTGCCTCTGCCAGCGGAAGGTCCGGGCAGTCCAGCGCTTCTGCTTCCTCCTCGGCCTCCTCCAGCAGGACCGACAGCGCTGCTAGGGCTCCGGCGGCGACGCAGAAGGCGGTCCTGGCAGGTGTCGCCGCGATCGTGGGCGGCGCCATGGCTCTGTAGCCTTGAGATGGCTGAAAGATAGAATAGAAGGGCTTAGAAACGCAACAATTGATTGCATGGGCAAGATTTGAGAGCGTGAAACTATGCCTCATAGCGAGTCGAACACGGCGTGATATACACATGATAATCCCGAGCTTCAGATATCAGGCGTCACGATGCTTGCTTGATCTCACCAACCGCCGTCCGCATCCTCCCCTCAGTGATGGTTATGTGGAACGCAACAACAGCCAGATTTGGAGGCTACTTGTTTGCAACTGCTTAAAACGTAGTCTTCGTTTCCATCAACGTCTCCATATCCTCTCCAGTCAAACATACGGAACTGTCGAATCTCGTTGAGATCCCAGCGCTACATATTCTCATCCGGCTCTGCCCCTCATCAATGTAAAGGACACCCTCCCACCTCAGGCCAGGTGTCGTGCGGACAGGCGATTAGAAAGCGCAACAAGTTGGGTCTTTCCTCGTCGCGCTTCGTTCTCCTCTTGTCCCCGAAAGTCATGGACCATTTTAATTCCGGTCCAGAGCCCCAACCCTACATGTTCATCTCCTCGTCCTGCTTCGCCCTGCATGTGCTCATCGTTGCACCCGCCGGGGCAGCACGTTTTTAAGAGGCAGGCGGTTGGGTTGGCCATATGTACTGGGACCACGTTGCCGCCTTCGTTATCCGCCTCATCTTCTCGTTGAGAGGGCCGTGTTCAATGGCCTTTCTGCAGTGCCGTTGCACGTTTCCAACGGTACATGTACTCGTTCAGTTGCCCTCGAGCAGCTCCACAAGACAAAACATTGTTCGCTCTCGGTCTATATCGTCCGAGCTCTGACGAAGGTCGGAGGGAGGGCTTTCTGGACCGCATCGGCAGGTTTGTGGGAAGCGTTGCCGCCGCTGTTGGGAACCGAACCCGCACTTCGGTTTGAGAGCGGCTTTTGTATTCCTCAGACGCCCAAGACCATGTGTCGCCAGTGTTACGTCGTTGTGACACGCAACCTCCCGAGCTCAGGCGCACCCATCGCTCAAGGATGTGAGCATGATCGCGCCACGCAGCCGCCTTGAAGCCGACGCCTGCCATCGCTGTTCCGGGTTTCTTGGAAGTCAAATACTCCCTTGCCTCCAACCCGAAGGGACGAGCGGGCACTTTGGGAGTCGGAGGCGACAATGGTCGGCGACACCTTTTGTTGACGCGCTCGACGGAGGAAGCGGAGTTGTTGACACGCTCGATAGATGAGATCGAGGAGTCTTGAACTCGAGCTCTGCCGCTCGGTAGATGAGATCGAGGAGTCTTGTTAAGCTCGAGCTCCGCCGCACCTCGAGGGGTCGGAGAGCGCCGTCGGCCAGCCGTGGCAGCGCGAGCTTCACGCGGGCGGATCTTGGATCCCGCTACGGGTCCAGAGCACCCTTGTGAGCTTCGCAGTGCCTTGTTCCTCGCGGGACGGGAGCCCGTAGAGGAGCTGGGTTGCCCGTTGTAGCCTTGGGCCCCGGTGTGTCTCGAAGCTGGCCCAGGACAATACTTTCCGAGTCTCGCGCGCACTGTCTGCGAAGCGCGAGGCTCAGGGGGCGGCGATCGAGGCTGACCCCTATCTGGGAGCCAGCAGCAGTATGGATCGCCGACCCTTCAGAGTGCGAGTGGCGGCACCTGCAGTATCGCGAGACCTCGATCGCCCATCCCTCTCCTTTGAAAGTCGTTAGATGCAGGCGGCCATCTTCCCTCCCGGTGTAGCAGAAGGGGAACGCTTCCGATCCGATCCCATGTCGAAGCCGCGCCCCGGACCAATTGTGTTGGTCACCTTGGCAGCCTGAATAGTCGGGCAGGGGGGCATTTGAGGCGGAGGGCCTGCTGGAGACTTCATATGCCGTGGCCTGGGTAGGGTCCGAGGGTATGTGTGCTCACAGCCGGTATCCGCTCGACGCGCTGCATCTGGTTCCGGCGCGTGCGGTTTTGCATTGCAGGGAAGTAGAGGCACCAAATCCCAGGGGTTTCAGGTGCCGGGCTCGGTGGTCTGTAATATATAATGTAACAGGTATTGCTGCCAGTGTCGTGGCTGACGAGGTAGAGGGGAGAGAGGAGGGGAGCGAGGACCTTATATAGTTTTTCAGCCACGGTATTTCCTGCCCAGAGGTGCCGGCATACCAAAGGATCCTGGTCAGTTTGCCAACTCGGCCCTTGGACGGATGTCTTGCTTGCTCTCGTCCGTGCTCTCGTGCTCTGGACTTGCGCTTTGGACCTGATTGCTCCCACGCCCCGTACGAACACGTATGCTGCCCGCTCGCGTTCTACGGACGCCGCCCAAGTGACCTCATTCTTCGGCTGCCATGAGACAGTCCGACTATCTGACAGCTTGTCTGGTGCGTTAGTGCCATCATATGACGTGGTCTGTGCTGCATGAGGCGTGGCTGTTGGTTGCGAGTTTACTTGGGCTCTCTCGCCTAACGTGAGTGCAAGCTTGCTTCGAGACGTTGTACAGAGTAAGGCCATACGCGGCCCCGTCTGAAGCACAAGACCCCCATGGTTTCGCGTGCGGGAGGACGGACATGGTACGGTGTCAGTGCCAGTGTCAGTGTCACTTGGCATGCTGCGGGTTACGCAGAGGCAAGGCGGCACCGAGTTTGCCTTGGAACGCCACCCTCGGCAGCTCACATGGACGACGCTTCATGGCCCAATGATTTTCACGTATTCATCGCAGTGTGTATGCCACGCGCTGGTCTTTGTGCCATGTCACGAAAATCACGTCCAGGCTGTTTGCTGTGCCACCGTTGCATAGTGCGGCCGCGCGTCGAATATCGCTCTGCTTCCGAAGGCCAATGGGCCTCTCGTCGACACCCGAGTCAATGACACGACAGATGGTCTCACCGAAACTAGTCTATGGTTTGTTTGCTCGACCTTGACACAAGCAAGGCGAGCGCAAGTCAAACTCGGTAATTGCTGGCCATCCATCTCCGCTTAGTACGTGTAGCATGCAAGTTATGCTGTGAGCACGAAACGCCGGAGCCGGCCGGCCCCGGCCTCGGCCTTCCGGGATCGGCACCTCCGGCCTCCGAAGCGACCACAAAGTACAAACCACCCTTCCCCAACAGACGAGACAAAACCTCGTCGCACACACGTCGTCGCCACCACAAACCATGATGGCGCGCCGCATCCTCATCCTCGACGGCGGGCTCGGCACGTCGCTCGAGCAAAAATACAGCGTCTGCTTCTCGCACGACGCCACTCCGCTGTGGTCGTCGCATCTGCTCCTCGCCCACGACGACCAGTCGCTGCTCCTCCGCTGCCACGCAGACTTCGCCCGTGTCCCCGTCGACGTCCTGCTCACCGCCACGTACCAAGTCTCGGCCGACGGCTTCGCCCGCTCCGGCGTCGTCGACCCGGCCCGCATCCCGCACCACCTCGAGGCCGCCGTGCGCACCGCCGAGCGCGCCGTCGCCGCGACCGCCGACGATGCCCGATCCTCGGCCCCTGTCCTCGCCTTGAGCCTTGGTCCCTACGGCGCCTGCATGGTGCCCAGCCAAGAGTACAGTGGCCGCTACGACGCCGCCCACGGCTCGCGCGCCGCCCTGCGCGCCTGGCATCTCGACCGCCTGCGCCTCTTTGCCCCCGTCGAGCACCTGGCGCAGCGCGTCGCCTATGTCGCCCTCGAGACGCTACCGCGCGTCGACGAGATCGAGGCCGCGCGCCAGGCCATTGCCACCGCCCCCTCCTCCTCGCCTGCCTTTGCCGCCGTCTTGCCCTTCTGGATCTCGTGTTTGTACCCTTCGGGCGAAACGCTACCTGACGGCACCACGCCCGAGGACGCCGTCCGCGCCATGCTCGACCCGGCCGTCGCCCCGAGCGCCGTGCCGTGGGGCATCGGCATCAACTGCACAAAGGTCGACAAGCTCGACGCGGTCGTGCGCCGCTACGAAGCCGCCGTGGCCGTCTTGCAGCGGCAGAGTCTCGTTCGTGAGTGGCCCGCCCTGGTGCTCTACCCGGACGGCACCAACGGCCAGGTCTACAACACGGCCACGCAGACGTGGGAGGAGGGCGGCGGGTCGCCAGACGGCGGGGGGGGCGCGGAGCGGATCCCCTGGGAGCAGCAACTGGCCGACGTCGTCGAGGGCGCCGAGGCAAGGGGCCGGTGGCGGCAGATTGTGGTAGGGGGCTGCTGCATGGCCACCTGCGACGATATTGCGCGTCTTCGTGGCTTGTTAGTGCAACGAGGAAAAGTCTAAGGGGCTCGCCAGCATCCGCCCGCAGTGTCAATTCTGTCCAAGCCAGATTGTGTTCATACTGGCTGACATTTGGCTCAGTCATGTCGTAACTCGTCAGGTCATCATCGATGCCAGCCATGCCCCTCTTTCGTGCATACACTTGTACTCCCCATCACAGCCCGAGCCCGCTGATGTCTGCGCTCGTCTTCTTGCCGCCCATCAGCTCCGCCATAACCATGCCCGTCCCCAAGCTCAGCGCAATGCCCCACGGCCCATGTCCCGCCGCCACAAAGACGCCGCCGTCCGCGCCAGGCCTAGTCCGCGTTCCCCCTCCGAGCTGCTCGTCCGTCAGCCTCGTGAGGAACGGCGTGCCCCTGTCGGTGATGGGCCGGAAGCACAGCCCCGTGCGGACGACCTCGAGCTCGCCATCCAACTTGATGAGCCGGCGGGCAATGCTCTTGAGCTCCTCGACAGACTCGTGGACGGGCGCCGCGCCGGTGGCTAGCGGAGGCAGGGGAATGGCGGCCGAGTTGACGCCGGCGAGGTAAATGACGCCCTCTGCCCTCGAGTACATCTCGGGGGACAGCGAGTCGAGGCTGCAGTAGACTGAGTGGCACACGTCGCCCGCACGGCTGCCGCCGGGTGTCTTGACGACGAGCGAGTGTCCGCCGAGGCTGGCGACGGGGATGTCGCTGGCGGCCGCGCTGGAGAAGAGCGATGTCAGGACCTGGGGTGTCCAGGCGCCGGCACATAGCAGGAGGCGGGTGGCGGGGATCTCGGTCTCGGTGGACGAGTCTGTGTAGCCGATGCAGACGCAGGCCAGCTCGCCTCTGACGTCTGTCTGGACGGAGAGGGCCGTGGCTGGGTGGTGGACGTGGACTCCGGCGGCCTTGCACTCGCCCAGCAAGAAGTGGCAGAACTTGAGCGGGTCGCTGGCAGTCTCTCGGCCTCAGTATGCGCATTGTCCAACACGTGCAGCGGCGGGTTCTCACACAATGGCCGTCCCCTCGCCGTCATCGACGACGTTCACGACATCCCCATCAGCCCTCCTCAGCCACGCCGGCGCCTCGCCCTCCCTCCTCTCCGCCCTGTCCCCGACGACGCCGACCCTGCTGGTCCCCTCGAGCAGCCAATCCTCGCCACGCCTGGCGTCGTCGCGGCGGCCGCTGGGCTCGTAGCTGAGGGTGACGCTCCGGCTGTAGCCCCATCTGTCGCGGCCGCCCTCGGCGTCGGCCAGCGCGCGGTGGGCGTCGAAGCTCAGGGCGCCGAGCTCCGAGACGGAGCCGTGGAACCAATCGCGGGCGAGGAAGCCGCCGGCGTAGCCCGAGGCCGAGGCGAAGAGCTCGGGCGAGGAATCAACCAGGTGAATCGACGAGCCCGGCTGCTGCCGAGCCAGGTAGTAGGCTGTCGAGAGGCCAATGACGCCGCTGCCCAGGATGACGGTCGTGGCCATAATTTTGTTTTCCCGCTGGCTATGTTGGATAACGTAGATGCTTTGGCGTATGCACAGTCAAGAAGTTGACGATGGCCGCGGCTTCCTAGCAGCTTTGAGCTGCCCCGTCTTAATAATCCCCACCTATAGCCAGGGCGCTATTTCTTTGCTGCTGGCTGGCCTATGCCCCTTGGACATAAAAAAAAAGAGAAAACTTGCCACCGACGACATCAGCGCAAAGCGACTCCATCCTTTCAACTTCCCCCCGCAGCACAACCACAACCATGGCCAAAGTCTTCATCGTCACCGGCGCAAGCAAGGGAATTGGCGTCGCCGTCACCCGCCATCTGCTGCAGCAATCCCACAAGGTCGTACTAGCCGCCCGGTCCCAAGAGCCCCTCGAGGCCATCAAACAGTCGCATCCCGGGCAGGTCGAATATGTCGCCGGTGACATGAGGAGCTCTCACGTATGCAGTGTTCATTCCCGACGACGCAGTTTCAGTCATGCCATTACTCTCAATTCATTCAGCTAATGCCCAGTGCTTGCATCTACCGCTCAGATGCCCGGTGCCTTGACCAGTCTCGCCCTCAAGTCTTTTGGCAAACTCGACGGCATCGTCCTCAACCACGGCCTACTGGATCCGCACAAAATCGACTCCTCTATGCTCGACGGGTGGAAGCACCTCTACGACGTCAATGTCTTTAGCTGCCTGGCCATGGTACGGTCACTGCAACGCCTCCCTCTTGTCCCAGCCGCAAACATTGACGGGCGGTACAGGCCAAGGCCGGCATTGCGGAGCTGCGCAAGTCCAGGGGCTGCATCGTATGGGTGTCATCAGGTGCGGCCACCAAGCCGTACACGGCATGGGCCGCCTACGGCTCCTCCAAGGCGGCCGTCAACTCCATATCGACCCATCTTGCCGTCGAGGAGCCCGACATCACCAGCGTCGCCATTGCCCCGGGCCGCGTCGACACAGACATGCAGTCCGTCATACGGGCCGCCGGCAAGGAAGTTATGGACAAGGCGCAGTACGACAATTTTGTCGATGCTTACCAGCAGGGCAAGCTGCTGAAGCCTGAGCAGCCAGGCCATGTCGTTGCCAAGTTTGTGGCTCGGCCACGTAAAGACTTGAGTGGCAATTTCCTCAAGTACGTATCACCATGTCACACGATGTGGGATGGGCCGCTGACCAACGCACAGCTGGAACTCGCCGGAGCTGGCCGCGTACCAAGAGTAATGTTCCTGCGACTCGAGTTCAAGTTAGCACAGGTCCAGCCAATGGAACAAGCATCAACAGTTTGGAAATAGACAAGAGGTTGCAAAATCAGTCGAAAGATGAAAAGCTCTTAGTTTCCTCCACATGCGGGATTCAGTATTAGCATGGAATAAGTTTTATCATCACGCAAGCCAGGCAGTTTTTAAAGAAAAATATGTCAGCCTTACCATGCCGCCTTTGAGCATCACAGACTAGTAGGCCGTGAGCTCGGCGTGGGTCAAACATCATGGTGCCTTTTCTCCTTGAGGCCATTAGTCCAAGGTCCTGCCGCCGAGTTCCGCTCGCAGTGGCACAGAGTCTGTGCTCAGGCTATCATGTTTTTCCGTCATCAAGGATCGGTATTTGATAGTACCGGATAGCAAAAGACATCACGGCAGGACGACTGGGCTTGGGCGACGCGGGCGGCGGGTCGGTGCTTACAGTCAAAACGGATGTGCTGGAGAAAACCTGGTCTTGTCAGCTTGCGGGCCTTTTAAGCATGCGGCGCATAGAGAGGACAATGAGGGAAGGGTCAGATGTGTCTATTTGGCTTGAGACTGTGTCTGTCAACACGGGAGGCTTGTCGAACCTCCTCAGCCTGGGGCGACAACGTATTTCTTCATTCGGAACGGGGACTTGAGCTCTCTTTGCTTACCTCTTGGCTTTGTTGGCCTCACGAGGAAGCAAAGCAGGCACGGCGGGCCATGCTTGACGTGTCGCAGAAAAATGTCCAAAGTCGGCGTTGGAGAGGAGGGAGGAGGAGTAGAGGAAAGGAAACGAGGTCCGGAAAATGTTGACGATAATGAAAGTTTTTTTTTTCCAAACACGGGATCCTTATTTGACGAGGGCTCAAGCGGGTCTCTCCTGACTCAGCGCTTTGCTCCGGCCAGATGGTCCGTGCCGAGGGAGCCTTGTACCTGGGGCGAGCCACCCTAAAAGGCACAATGAAGACTACGGATAATAAGGCCTAGATTAGCAAATTGGCTAGCCTAGCCATAAAAATGGCTAACAGTGACTTTGCCATACATAAAAGTTTAGGAAGTATTACAGTTAACCTGGGCTACAACGATCACGTGTAGTAGCGATAGTCTGGCTTTAGCGATAAGATATATATATACGAGTAATAATTAGCTATAAATTCCTTATCTCCCGATACTAGCGATATCGCCCTATATTTACTAATAAATCTATTTATCTTATATAGGTATTATTATAGGTATATACCTACTATATTCTAGCTAGGTACCTTATAATAATAATTTCTAAATCCTTACCTTAATATTTTATTATTATTATTAAGATTACGCTAGGGACCTAGCTAGAGGTATCTAGAACTTCAATGTTAAATAGGAGGGAAAAACCAGAGTGCCTAGGGGAAAACCCTCCCCTCTTTTAGTGCGGGTCCGCCTCGAACGAGGTCGTGGTAGCAGTACGTAGGAAATTTGCGCCGGCTGCCGCGGGCTCCTCCCGCGAAATCGCGTCTCGGCGCGGGCCCTCTCGGGCCGTGGCCGCTACTATCCCGAGCGGCCGCGGCCCGGGCTCGCTAGCCCGGGCCTAGGGTTGTGGGCAGTAGTCTCTCTCCGGGGGCCCGACTCGCGGGCGCCTCTATTCACCCTGGCTCCCGCGTCGCAGCCGCGTGGCCGCGGTTGCGTCGGCTTGTCGGTCCGTTGGTTAGTAGGGCAGGTAATGTCCTGTTGCCGGGCCGGGCGCTGGTGTAGGTCGCTCCTAGGTGGGGCCGGCTAATCGAAATTCGGTACCTTAATATTTTATTTTATAATTAATTCTATATATATTATATATATTAGAAAAATAAGAAGGGTAATATTTATATATTAATAAGGTATTTTCTAAGCTTAAAGAAAAGGAATTTATTAAAAGATATAAGAAAACGCGATATAGAGGTACTTAGATATTATTACGTAAGTAAACTAATAATAAGGACGAAAATTAATTAATCTACGATCTCTAGGACCCTTAGCGCTAAATTTACCTACGTTAACGACTTAAATATACCCTATATACTTAAAAGATAGGCTATAAACTAGCTACTACTTAAAGCCTCCCTTTACTAGCTCCTCTAGCAATTTAATAACGCTAGGTACCCTATTAATAATAACGTTATCGTCTCGCTAGCCTAGAAGCTATAGAATATAATGCCTGACTTCCGTAAATAGCCTACTCTAAGCTTCTTAAAGGGCTAGCTAAATAGCTTTAAGAAAAGGCATAATCTTAAGCGCTACTAATAGCACGGTAAGGCAAAGACTATAGAGTAATATAACCTTAATAATGCTCTTACCGAGACCTAAAAGCTCTTTACTACGTATAACTTAAACGATATCTATAACGCCGATAAGACTAGGCTTATTTAAAAGGTAACGCCTACCTATACGATAGCCTTACGTGCGTAGAAAGGTATAAAGATTAAGAAAGACCGTATTACGCTTCCCCCTTACTCTAACGCTATAAGTATATATCGTCTATAACTTTAGGTTATTAGTATAGTAGCTAACCCTTATACCTTTAGCCGCCTTAACTATAAGATCGTAGTAATACTACTTTATTATTGCTCTAATAAGACTACCTAAGTAACCCTAACTATCTTTAAGTAGCTAAAGTAGCTTAATACTTAAATAGCTAGTTATAAGATATTATTATTACTTAATAACTTTAGTATTTATAAGTATACCGCTTATAATACTAAATCCGACCTTAAAATATATATAAATATACTTCGTACTACTAAATTCGACCGCGCTATTTTAGCTAATAGATTAAGGGATTATTAATAACCTTAAAGTCTACTATAAAAAGCTATAGCTTAAGTTCTTTAGTTATCTTATAATTTAGTAACGCGATCTACTATAAAATATAACGCTATTTAGGGCAGTCTTATAGGCTATTAAGGTATAGGCCTTAATAAAAAATAATACTATCGCTAACTACTAGATAATATTATAGCTTTTTAGTATATAGTTTAAGCTATACTAGCGCTTAAAGGATTAAGATAAGTCCTATTAAGCTCTCCTCGAAGCTATATAGCGCGTGCGTATATAATAAGTAATAGGCATCGATAATCTTATTAGTATTAATTTAGCTAAATTTAATGATTTTATAAACTTAGAATTTAAATGCCTTAAGGAAATAAAAGATAAGCTTCTTAAATTTATCGCGAAAACCTTTATAGAGCTTAGTATCTCTCTTAATAAGGATTATAGCGATAATAACGACCGACCTAAGCTTATACTAATTATAGTAGTATAAGCGTTAAAGGCTATCGAGTAATTAATAGCTTTCGAGGAATAATAAAGCTTAGTTAATTAAATATACCTTTACTTTCTATACTAAGAATAGAGGGCAATTTAAGGGGATTAGTAAGCGGCACTTAATATAGTAAAATTATAATAATAGTATTTTAAGAGCTACTAAGTATAACTAATTTATTTATATTTACTATTTAGTATTTTAAAGCTTATATTTTAGTAAGAAAAGGTACTAAAAGAGGGGTATATTATAAGCTAGGTAGCTATTATTATAACTAAATATATATAAGGAGTCGCTTATAACTCTACTTAAAAGATTATATAAAGGCTCTTAGCTACTAAGGTAAGAGTAGTAGTACTACTAAGCTTAACCTTAAGTAGTATTAAGTCTATAGTTATAGATATAGTTTTAAAGGCCCTTAAGTAAGGCCTTCCTTATTAACTAATACCTTAGCCTTAAACCTAAGCCGCTATAGTAGTAACCTTAGCTAAGGGGTATATAGTTATAAAAAAGTAGGTTTTAAACTAATATAAGTATTAGCTTATAGTCTAGTAAGACTTAATTAACGCCCTCCTTAAGTAGTATAGACTAAAGGAAATAATATAAGTAGTTAACTAATACCTTTAAAGTAAAAGAAGAGTACTAGCGGCGTAAAGACTCTTAAGTAAGGATATAACTATTATCTTTTAAGAAAACGCTATGCTTTAAGAAGGTAACTAAGCTTAGCTTTAATCGGCGTTTAAAGTAAAAGCTACCCTTATTAATAAGAGCCTTATAGTTATTATTAAAGGGGTCTTAGTAAAAGCGCTAAAAAGGGGGGGGGAAAGGTATTAAAGAAAGATATTATAAGAGCTAATAGTATCTTTATTATCTAGCTATATATAAAGAAACCCTATATTAAATATATACCTAAGACAGCCCTTATCTTAACTTTAGAAGGTATAAAAAAGGTAAGTTAATTCTATAATAAAGGTATAGTAATTTAATTAAAGATCTTTAATATAAAACTATATAAAGATATAATATAGCCTTACTAATACTTTAAGTACTATAAATTAAAATATATTACTAAGTACTATAGTATAAGGGTAATATATAGCTAATATAAAGTATCTATATATAAAAGTAGTAAGGATATATACTAAATAAAGATTAAAGACATCTTTATTTAATATATACTTTATTAAGGTATATAGTTAATATAGAGCTATACTTATTTAAAACTATAAAAAGCATAGGATAGTACTTAGGACGCTTATTTAATAAGGCTTAAGAGGTTCTAAGAGCGCTAAGTAGTAAAGGTAAGGCCTTAAGCTAAGGGGGCTATATATTATAAACTAGCTAACTATAAAGGGAAGATAGTTAAAATATAGGCCGTATACCTAAAGTATAGGATACTAGGCGCTATATACTATAAAAGAACTATTAATATAAAGGTTATATAAGTTAGTATACCTAGCTTCCGGCACCCCTTACTTCTAGCACCTCCTTATATTACTATCGCGTTAACTACCTACTATATCGTGACCGCGTTTTCTTATATATCTCTTATTTAATAATTATAAAATAAATATTATTCGAATTAGCGATACCTCGTCTTTCTAAATATACCGGAAACTAGCTCTAAGAAGCGCTCGAAGCTATTAATAATAGTATACCTTAGCTCTAAGCTAGTCGTAAGTAGGGTATTCTAAGAATAACCCTTTAGACATATATTAAAG